CAGCCCCGCCAGCGGCGAGCCGAGTGCCAGGTGATCATAACACACTCCGCCAGCGGTTGTCATAAACACGCTGCGTGTGTGGGCATGGGCCCGCGTGCCGTTATATCTGCGGTGGGCAAAGCCTCTCTCCCACGTGGAGGGGAGCGGTGGGTAAAGCCTGCCTCGCACGTGGAGGGGAGCGGTGTGCAAAGCCTCCCTTGCACGTGGAGGGGAGCGGTGGGTAAAGCCTGCCTCGCACGTGGAGGGGAGCGGTGTGCAAAGCCTCCCTTGCACGTGGAGGGGAGCGGTGGGTAAAGCCTGCCTCGCACGTGGAGGGGAGCGGTGTGCAAAGCCTCCCTTGCACGTGGAGGGGAGCGGTGGGTAAAGCCTGCCTCGCACGTGGAGGGGAGCGGTGGGTAAAGCCTGCCTCGCACGTGGAGGGGAGCGGTGGGTAAAGCCTGCCTCGCACGTGGAGGGGAGCGGTGGGTAAAGGTTGCTTCGCACGTGGAGGGGAGCGGTGGGTAAAGCCTGCCTCGCACGTGGAGGGGAGCGGTGGGTAAAGCCTCCCTTGCACGTGGAGGGGAGCGGTGTGCAAAGCCTGCCTCGCACGTGGAGGGGAGCGGTGTGCAAAGCCTGCCTCGCACGTGGAGTGCAGCCAGCTTTTACGAGTGTGAGAATGTAGAGGACGCCTGAGGGAATCCGGACAGAGTCCGACACCAGCAGAAGTGTGGCAGGACTTGTTGAGTCGACTGAAAGGGTGGTGGTGGTGGCCAGGGTCTGGCGGTTGGTGTCACTGGCCCGGCCGTACGCGCAGGGCCAGAGGTGTTGACAGAACGCTCTCATCGTAGTAATGTTTGTGGGTGCAGTGGTTTGTTCATCGTAACATTTGCATTGGAAACTTCATGCCTTTATGCTAATCAGTATTATGCAGCACAAAAATTGAGCACAGACCATTTTACTGTTGTTTTGTACCCAAACGTGGCATCGAACGCACATTTACTCCGCGCTTGAGAACGACTCGTAATCAATATCAAGGTAACCAGAATGGAATTGCATTTTCACGAGCTTCTGTATTACTAATTACTAACCGCGTCAATAAAGGGTCAGCATCTATGGATTAAACACGTGCATTTCTGTAAACGAATGTGAGGTGTGGATGAGTTGCCTCTGTGTAAACAGGATGGCACTCGACAGACATGTAACGGGCTGTGCACAACGTGTGTCTGCTTAAATGTTCAGTTTGTGGTCGTCTGTAAGTTCGCAGCGGGGTGTGGTTCCTGTTTGAAGGGGCAAGGCAGTGGCCTCTCCGTGTGTGACCAAGCCCTCTGTGTGTGACCAAGCCCTCCGTGTGTGACCAAGCCCTCCGTGTGTGACCAAGCCCTCTGTGTGTGACTACACTCTCTGTGTGTGACTACACTTTATGTGTGTGACCAAGCCCTCTGTGTGTGACTACACTCTCTGTGTGTGACCACTCTATGTGGACTACACTCTCTGTGTGTGACCACGCACTGTGTGTGACCAAGCCCTCTGTGTGTGACCAAGCCCTCCGTGTGTGACCAAGCCCTCCGTGTGTGACCAAGCCCTCCGTGTGTGACCAAGCCCTCCGTGTGTGACCAAGCCCTCCGTGTGTGACCAAGCCCTCCGTGTGTGACCAAGCCCTCCGTGTGTGACCAAGCCCTCCGTGTGTGACCAAGCCCTCCGTGTGTGACCAAGCCCTCTGTGTGTGACTACACTCTCTGTGTGTGACTACACTTTCTGTGTGTGACCAAGCCCTCTGTGTGTGACTACACTCTCTGTGTGTGACTACACTCTCTGCGTGTGACTACACTCTCTGTGTGTGACCAAGCCCTCTGTGTGTGACTACACTCTCCGTGTGTGACCAAGCCCTCTGTGTGTGACTATACTTTCTGTGTGTGACTACACTCTCTGTGTGTGACTACACTCTCTGTGTGTGACCAAGCCCTCTGTGTGTGACTACACTCTCCGTGTGTGACCAAGCCCTCTGTGTGTGACTACACTCTCTGTGTGTGACTACACTCCCTGTGTGTGACCACGCACTCTCCGTGTGACCACGCACTTCTGCACCGACGGAGGGCACTGGGGAAAACGCACGTGTAAAATGCGATCACCCCATGCTACTATTTAGAAACACGCTGAGATAGAAGAGGAACACATGGATCGGAGAACATACACAAGGTGAAGGCATTGGTAAGGAAAGTTAGTGGGATTGTGCTAGGCATGCCAGGAAAAGGGATGATAGCCGGTGGTCGAGACTAACTACGGAGCGGCAGTCAAAGGAGTGAGCAGCAACAACACTAAGTGGCAGTGACGTCCCCACGGAGCTTGCGCCGCGCTATGTACACCGTGAGGCCACGCGGAGTGTCGAACGCCCACTGGTGGGAGGTCACGGGACAGAACCCAGGTGCCACGGGTCGACTGACTGAGATGACTGTCCGATGCACCACCTGTGCCCCCTACTGTGCCAACTCGCTGTGCTTTAGCCGCCCGGCGCTCCGCTCGTTCTTGTGACCCCGCTCCTCCGCCCTCCGTTGTTGTTGGAGGGCGACTGCGTCCAACTGCTCAGCAGCGTCCTTCACGAGCCTCCTCCACAGAGGCCGATCTTGACACCGCTGGTACCAATCTTCGGCAAGTCCACTCAGCTCCGCATCCTCTTGTACCACATCACTCCATCTCTTCTCTAGCCCTACAGAACGTGCACCACGGAAATGGAGCGTTCACATCAGTTCGCGTGCATGTACAAGTTGAATTGTTACAGCGTAGGACAGCCCAACGCTGGATTGGCCATGGCTGATGATGGTCATATGAGCACGCCTGGCTAATTCAGTCGATTAGTTTTGGTGTAGGCGAACCCTGAACTGGTTCCACGGCGAGTCTTATGTGGTTAGAAATGTCATGCCAAGAATCGTTGATGGCAATTACAGCAGAAACCCGTGGGCGAGTTATTAGGTTTGTTAAAATAGGGCTCTTTTTTCTGAACTAGTAACCAAATATATAAATGCGTACAATAATCAACACCACGTGTTTATGTTTTTAAAGTAAAACAATATGGGAGCTGCCACAGTGGTGTCATGGTTCGTAGCACACTGCACTTGCAATCGAGAGGTCGCCGCTTCGAGATAACGGTGCGAGTTTGTTCCCCCTCTGTCTCCCCAGCAGCAGATGGACACATTGGTTCACCACCGCTGGTCGATTGGCAGGGGGCGCGTCGTGGGGCAAAGTGTGGGTACGGCCACTTCTTCCAAGACGTCGGGTCAGCGTGGAAGAGTAGGCCAAATACCCTCCAGCGCTCCGTCTATTGTCGGCTCTGCCACCGGCAGTGCCGTGAATAATTGATTATGATCAATTGCAAGGCTGCATCTCTCGCGGTGCTGCGATGCGACACCCCAACTCGTTCCTGCAGACGAGGGGAACTCATCGCTGGAATTAGACTTTTACAAAAGTCTAATTCGATTATAACACCCCCCCCCCGCCCCCCATACAACTTGCGTAAAGAGTTGCCTCACGTGGACTTGCAACGAGGAGCACATATTGATCAGAGACATTGGTTGTTTAAAGCAGCACGTGTCGAGACGAATCACGGAATGGCAGCCAAAGGTGGAAAAACGCGCCCCAGAACACGTCCACTGCTGATGCCACTCGTAGCTGCCCGAATCAAAACCGATGCGTGGTGGTGATGGTGGTGATAATGATGCACTGATGCAGCTGGTAAACATGCATGTCTCTACATATCTTTACAATGTACATCATTCAGCTAAAACTAAACTATCTATTTATTTATTATACCAGGTGTGCCCCACTGAGCTGTATAGCTCTTTTTCAGAAGCGACCTGGCCACAAATGATAGCTCAACGAAGTTTCTTATCACGTGGAAATGTTATAGCAGCCAAATACTCGAAATCCCATGTTTCTAAATGTGGAGGGAGAAAAACTGCAGGGCCCAGAAGAAAATCCACGCGACCACGGGGAGAGAGACACGCAAACCCCAACGAGACAGGCGCCAGGGTTGGCGTTGAAGCCACGACCTCCTGCATTCCAGGCGAGGGAGTTAGCGTCTCCTGGCCACCGTGGCGCCCTGTTTGCAATGCACAATCGCAGGGGAATCGGACGACAATTGCACGTCCGTCTTGGCACGGCGGTGACAGCTGATGGCATCGACCCTCCTCAAGCGGCAAAACTGCGCCCTGCACAAGCGGAGCGGGGTGCTGCTTTGTCCAGTGGCGTTAATTCCACATTGCCATGGCGAGGACGAGTAATTTCTTCATGCGGACACCGCGTACGTGTACAGCCTGGCTTGTGCATGGCCCGTTTGGGGCTCCACTGCTGGATGAGGTCACGTGGGCAAGGGTCTCACCAACACCGTGTGGGGCGTGGGGATTGCTCGGCCATACTTCACCACATTGGTCAGTGCGGATTGGTGAAGGTTATAGGAAGCATAGAAGTACAGGACAACAATGGATGCTATGCACCTATGCTGCCGTAGTAACGGTGGTGGCCCATCCAGGTAGTACCCAGGCTTAATCCCGCTTAGCTTGAGACAAGTCACGTGTGATGCCCCCCCCCCCCCCTCATAGTTTCCACGGTAACGGGGCGTAGGCCCCCATCCCGGGCGGTAGTGATTGACAGACAAACCATCCAATCAGCGTCGGCAACACCCCCCACCTCCGCACCACTCGCGTCCAATCGCGGCAGGGCTTCTTGCGCGGCTCCGTTGTCATGGGGACGCGTGGCCCCGGAAGCTGAATGCACGCGCGCGGCATGGCGGAGCCACCGCGTGCGGATCGCGACGTAAACACGGAGCCGGATCGCGACGTAAACACGGAGCCGGATCGCGACGTAAACACGGAGCCGAATCGCGACGTAAACACGGCGCGGAGGGAGCCGCTCAGGAAGCCGCGGAGCCGGATCGCGACGTAAACACGGAGCCGGATCGCGACGTAAACACGGAGCCGGATCGCGACGTAAACACGGCGCGGAGGGAGCCGCTCAGGAAGCCGCGGAGCCGGATCGCGACGTAAACACGGAGCCGGATCGCGACGTAAACACGGCGCGGAGGGAGCCGCTCAGGAAGCCGCGGAGCCGGATCGCGACGTAAACACGGAGCCGGATCGCGACGTAAACACGGAGCCGGATCGCGACGTAAACACGGAGCCGGGGAAGCCGCGGCGCAGCAGCAGTCGCAGATCTCCCCATGAGACGCCTCCAGTCGCAGCAGCAGCAGCAGCAGCAGCTCCCGGGTAAGAATCGCGGTTTGCTGAGGCCACGCTCGCGTGCTTCGCGGCGGGAGTGACGGCGGTTTCGCTGTCACCGCGCGTGCCGATATTGATGGATGTGCGGGGGGGGGGGGCGGCTGGTGAGTTGAAGAGCTCCCGCGCACAGGCAGGGAGCTGTGAGGGGCGCGGATGCCACGCGACGGCTTCGGAGACCGAGGCGGAATCCGTCGGTCGGTGGCTTCGATTCCGTTGCGTTTCCAAAGGTCGCGGTGGTTCACGGCGAGCGCAGCGACGCTCAAGGAACCCGGCGCCGCCCCCCGCTGCCGCGATATCGGCGGTGCGAGCGCGTCAACAGGCGACACGCAACGTGCACACAGTGGCACGCACACAGTGGCACGCACACAGTGGCACGCACACAGTGGCACGCACACAGTGGCACGCACACAGTGGCACGCACACAGTGGCACGCACACAGTGGCACGCACACAGTGGCACGCACACAGCGGTTCGTCCTCGTCCCCTCGCAAAGCAGGGGCTGTGATTGCCGCCACTCGAGTTAGACCCTCTAAGGGCTCGGCACGATCTCCCCGCTGGCTGCCGTGTTCGTCGAATTACGCAGCAGATGTCCCCGCCGCGGAGACGCGGGTTTGCGTGTCGCCTGAAGAGACCGTCGCGCTTAAAGCTTCCTCGCGATGATTGGGGACGTGTTCAGCTGTTGCTGCCACTCGGCGGGTCGCGCGCAGTGACCCCACACGACCCCTCGTGCCCGGGAGCTCCGCGGGCTTCGAGGACCGTCAAACCAATCATATCATCAGTTCATGTAACTTTCACCTGAAGGCTCTCAGACACCTACGTCCTCTTATCTCCACTGAAATTGCCAACACATTGGCATGTTGCATAGTTGGGTCTCGCCTTGACTATTGCAACTCCGTCCGAGTCCAGACCTCCACTGGCAACCTAAAAAAAATCTTTAAAGACTACATAACAACCTAGCACACTCATCTCCGTCTCTACTCACTCGCCTGTCTCCGTGCTCTCAACTGGCTACCCATCGCCAGTAGGGTCATGGCCTCTGCCACAATGCCTTCACATCTGCCTGCCCGCCGCAAATTTCGTCATTATTGACAACTTGCAGCTCAGCACACGGCAGATGCCTGCGCAGCGCGACTCACGACCTCCTCTTGATACCAAGATCCAGGATGGTCATGTCTATGCGCCGCTTCTCGGTGGCAACCCCAACAGTCTGGAACGATATCCATCTGCACATTCGCAGCATCACCTCAATCGCCTCCTTCAAGAGACACTTAAAAACTCCCCTCTACAATCACGCTTTAGAGCGAATCTGAGCTTGGCTCCGCGCCTCTGAGTTGCGGCCGTTACGTCCGCAAATTTGCGAGCGTTATAAATTGCATTATTATTATTACTATCCAGTCTTTTAATCCGCTTATCATCCGAGATCTGTTGTACGTAATCACGATTGCACTCTTTTCATGGGTTACGGGTTCTGCCAAATTTAAAACTGGACACCTACCTATCTGTCGCATCACCAAAGAAATAACACTTGAGCGCAACAGCCAATTTGATTTGCGGAGCACATCCTGCTCACACGAATTAACGTCAAAACCGATCCCGGCTTAGGCTGATTAAACCCAGGCCGCTGGAGAACATTGCTCCAGAAGATCTCTTCGGCTGATGGAACTACATCTATTCTATTTGCTGTTGGCGACTCTCATGGCTATTTTGTTTGCACGAGTTTTGGCTGACATGGCCAGGGTTTCCGTGGACGTAGATTGTTTAAGCTCGTGTGTTATCACCAGCGGCTGTGGAACCACGCAGGAGATGAGGAATGCTGTAAGGGTTGTTGCCATTTATTAAACACTGTTGAACTCAACACTCCAACTCACACCAGAGGTAGGTCCTTACCCCGGACTCTCAACAGTACCTGGTCCTGCCTTCGGTATCCTTTAGGGCTCTCTCACTCGTCTGCCCGGAACGGGGGCTCATCCGACACCGTCCGGCGACCAGGAGAGAGAAATCCTCTCTCAGCCGACCCCAACTGAATACTCCGGACCCCACTCTCGGCTATCCTCTTAGCTCTCTTCTTCCAGCCGATCCTTGCCCTGGCTCCCCACAACGACCACGCCTTCATCACGGGGTCCCTCTTGGCAGCTCCTCCCCTAGCTCGCACCTGCCTTTGTTCCCGAAGGTACCTCTTCCACCATCCGTGACATGACGTGATCCTTAACTGTCAACTCGCTCGCACCTCCCTCTGTTCACCCCCTCATGGTTGCTCACATTACTCCTCTACATAAGTACTGGAATGTTTTGCGTTTGTACATGTACGGTACAGCACTTTTGTCGATGGATGAGGGCCTCCCCACACCATGCAGATTATTATACTTATGTAGTGGGTTTATTTGAGACACACACTTGACTTCGGAGGCAACACGTTTATTCATGACCACAAAGGGGTAACTACATAAACGTAACAACGGGATAACTATATAGCTGTAACCACCACCGGGTAACTACATAAGCGGGTCAGGTCAGTTAACATACTGCCTGACCCACGATGCCGAGCGTGAAGACCTAAGAGCGAAGAGTGAAGAGACGTAGCCCGGCGGGTTCCATTCCAGTAGACAGCTCTGATCAACTTTCGGGACCTCCCTTTTATGCACTTGGCGACGCCCCTTTCTGGATCCTCCCAGAAGGTTCTGGGCCATACACCACGTGTCCCTCTCGCCACCCTTGGTCCACATTTTTACCCTGTCCTGGTCACGTGCCCTCTCGGGTTCAACCAGACTGTCACGTCCTCAACTGCCCTCTCTCTGACAGTCACCAGAACCTTCTGGGGATCCCTCGTAGTCGAGTATGATTCCCTCCGGGTGTCACTTGTTTGTGTTGTGAGGTGGACCTGCATTTTAAGGTTGTCACGGAAATGCTTCCTTTGACCTCCGGGGGCACGTGATCCATCGCTGAGCTGAGAGTTTGCTTAGGAAGCCTCGAGTCATTCATCCTCACAAGGTGACCTGCCCATCTGAGTTGATACTTCATCATGATGGCCTCTATGCTGGATGAGTTGGATCGCTCCAGGACACTGATATTAGTTTGTCTTTCTTCCCAGGTGATGTTCAGTATTTTCCTGAGACAGTGTTGATGAAACATTTCGAGAGATTTTACGTGTTTACGATAAGGTGGTCCAGGTTTCTGCACCATATAAGAACGTTGGAATGATCACATCATTATACACAGCCACTTTGGTCTTGGTGGTAATATCGTGGTCTTCAAAGACCCTGTTCTTGAGTTTGCCAAAGGCAGCACTAGCTCGGGCAATCCGATGTTGGATTTCATAATCAAGTAAGACATTGCTAGAGAGATGGCTGCCTAAGTATGGGAAACTGGGAACGTTTTCTAGTATTGCATTGTTGGTAATGATTGTAGGGGGTGGTAGGTGTCCTCCCGGAGCTTGTTGAAAAAGGACTTTGTTTTGCTGGTATTCAATGTTAGACCCATCCTGCTGTAAGCATCTGTAAATATGTTGACGATGACCTGAAGGTCAGCGTCTGAGCAGGCACTGACTTGGTCATCATCAGCATATTGGAATTCATAACGGATGTGATTGATGTTTTCGACTTGGCTCTGAAACGTTTGATGTTGAATATGTTCCCGTCTGTCCTACATGTGATATTTATGCCTCTGGGAAATCTGATCTCTGTCAGATGAAGCATTCCTGCCAGGAAGATGGAGAAAAGAGTTGGTGCAATAACGCAGCCTTGTTTCACACCGGTCCTTACTTCGATTGGCTCTGAGGTTTCACCATCAGAGAGGATGACAGCCTTCATACCGTCATGCAACAGACGGAGGACATCAACAAATTTTGTTGGGCAGCCATGTCTCGGAAGGATTCTCCATAGTGCTTCACAAATAACAGAATCGAAAGCTTTAGTCAAATCAAAGAAGGTCATGTACAATGGTAGTCTCTGCTGCTGACACTTCTCTTGGAGTTGAGGGGCTGAGAAGATCATGTCTGAGGTTCCCCTGCCAGGTCGAAAGCCACTCTGCGATTCAGGAAGGAGTTTTTCAGCAAGTGGTAGAAGTCTGTTTAGTAGGATTCTTGCCAGTATTTTCCCAGCGGTGGCGAGAGATTCCTCTGTAGTTGTCACAGTCTGACTTGTCACCTTTTTTGAAGACGGTGACAATGGGGCATCTTTCAGTTCACCAAAACCATGCCCCCTAGGGCCCCCTTCCATGCCATAACATACTCTGGTGTTCCACTCTTCTACCAGTAGCTAGCGCTAAACGCCGTAGTGACCCAATATATATGACTACACTTAGCCACGCAGATCAGTGGAGGTTGGTTTAGGTGTGGAGTATAGAATCGGAATCTTTATTTAGACTGGATGAATCCGATGAGCTTTGAAACTCTTTTTTACAGATGTCCAGAGTAAAGACGTTGGGACATAGAATCAGAGTACCTGTACAGTATAACATTGGGCAATACCGCCAGTGGCCCTTGCTGTCCACATTGCCTCGAAAGCCTCATCACAGATTGTTTGTGAATGGTGCACTGTCTAAGCTCAACGCTGCTTAGCCAGGTGCATTATAGGCGATTTGTTCATGGGCATGTGTCTCACGGGGATTGTATCCACTGTTACGTTGCCCCTATTAACGCCGCGGGGGGAGGGGGGGTACCACATGTTCTGTAGACGTCTGTAGCTTCCCCTGGTAGTGGAGGAGCGGCTGAGGAGTGAAGAGAGCACTGTGTTCCAACAACTTCCCACAGCGGCAGCGGCCTCATGCACTGCTCTGCCCCCTGTCCCCCCGACCATGATGGCTCACCTGCCCGGGAGCATTGCCGTTCACCCCATGTCCCCTGGTCACAGCCTCAAGGACAGGGGAACCTCAGCCCGGAGGCCAACGGCTATCACGGGAGAGCTGAGCTCGAACAGCGACCAACCAACCTGTAAGTCAAGTGAACAAAAATGAAACCCACCACATTCGTAAATAGCCAGGAGTGTAGCGCGGTTGGCATTGGTCTTGGTAGAAGGAATGACATGGGGCCCCCTGTCTAGCCCATGGGCCTCCGCGTAGGTTGCACTGCCTACACACCCAGTAACTACGTCACTGTCAATAGCACCGCCTTGCAACAGGAATGTATATGGTGGGCTAACGTTTCAGGCATTGGCCTGTCTTCAGAGATTAAAGATTATGAATTTGGTGTTATTAGATTTTAGTTTGAAGCAGCTTCTGCATCATTGCCTACATACTAATTCGAACTGTTTTGTCTAATTGTGAATAGTGAGTAGTGTGGAGGGGCTTGTAATAATCCCACCAGCTTTGTGTGGATTTATCAGAGCCCATGCCTTTGTGTGTTCCAGTATTCATCATCGTCGTGACAAAATCATGTTCATCATGGAATCACGATCATCATCATCTTCATTTATAATGCACAAATGACAACACAAGTCCCAATACATAACCTCTAAAAATATGTTTGCAGATGAATATTTTATGAACGAGTGATATGAGCAGGTAATTACCAAATGAAGTGACTTGACTACGTCTGCGGACTGTTGTTCTGTGCATCTGAAGGGACTCGCTGTGTCTGTGTTGAGATGCAGCAAACTCGTGTGGGGAAAACTGGCCAAGCAATACATGGCAAATGATGAATGTGAAATGTCACAAACTTGAATATAATCACTAAGCCTCACTCAGCCTTGTGTGTCTTTATTTTAGCTGCTGCTGCTGCTGCTGCTGAAACATTGCCATCTGGTGGACAGTCTCCTGCAGGCGGCTCCAAGGTATGATTTCATTCTTCTAAACCAGTGGATTTAATCTTTTTGGTATGCCGAGTCCCCAATCAAGACCACTAGATCGCGTGCCCCCCTCCCCTCCTCAGATTACTAAGGCCACAATACACAGATCTCATGTTCACATCTCTAGTCAATGCGGTTTTAGTAAGGTATTTTGGTTTATATCTTGGAGTGGTTTTTGACACCAAAACGTGGCGCTGACGTTCCCCACGCATATTAATATTTTTCCTGCACGGTATCTATGCCACTGCCTGTGCCCCCCATGATGAGTTTGGGGAGGGCACCCCCGCAGCGTGCAGGAATTAAATACGATAAATGCAGAGTGTATGCAAATGTTTTGTTGAGGGCAATAGAGTGGATGCTGACTGTCAAAACGAGACAGACCGTACAGGAAACAGCCGAGCCAGAATGGTAACGATGAGACGAAATTCGCCCTCTTCAAGTGCGATCCCGAATTGTGACGATTCATCAGATTGTGGGGGGAGCGCTGAATCGTTAATTGGTTCATAATATGTTTATTTATGCAGGAGTGCTTCACTGACTCTGAAGACTTTTGCATGAGGGTCCTGAATGCTTTTGGCAAGTTCTCTTCGAAGGAAGTTTCGCGCGCGGATTAAAACACGAGTATCCAGAGAACATCCGCACAGTGGAAGGGTTAATCCGCAAGTGATCCACACAAGCTGGCCTAACGAAGCCGCTTGCTGTACTGCCATCTGGTGGGCACCTCTCAGCCTGGTGGGTTTGAGAGTTTCGCAAATTTGGTTGATCCACCAACCCTTGCCTCCAAAGCGCTGGTTAATAATAATTCATGAGTTGTCTAGGTGCTTTCTAAAAGCGTTATATTAACGTTTAGTGAATGACAGAGAAGAACGCGAGTACTGAAGTGTGGGTTTGGTGGCCCCAGCTGATGAGGAAGATGTGAGGCAGCCATATCTCAGCAGCAGGAGAGAGTCGGGGATAATTGTTTGCTGAGCCCGAGGAGTGAGTGACTGAATCAGCCTCTTAAACCAAACTCGGAGCAGGACAAGGTGGGCCCTGTTCTCCACACGCCAGGCGCTGGTGCGATCCCTTCGATGCGTTTTACCTGCGTGGCTTCTCCATGCAGAATGTCGATGCGAAGTCTTGTTTCGCATTTTCTTGTTGGCACGTTGCTCGTTCTATTCATGGCTTTCCTGTATTTTTTAACACACATTTGCCTTGAGATGTGTATCCTCATAATCTTGCTTGGTCATAAATAATTTGTATCGTCAATGTACATTATTCATTAATGGAAACGTGCGCTTAATGATTAGCAGGCAATTCTGGTTGTAGATAATAGCTGTGTGTATTCTTCTCGATCGCAGGGTGAGGGGAGTATGAGCAAGAGTGGGATGGAGCCTCAGCTGTCCAGCTTGCTGGCGCCTATTCAGGACGGTCTTCTTGACATGGTGCACGACTTCCGCATGAACGGTACAGCGGGCCACTGCGGCGGCCCTGCATCACACAACTACTGCTTGCACACATTCGACGTGAACTCGCGGGCGTGCAGCGCTGAACTCGGTGTAAACTGCCGCCAGCTCAAAGTGTTCCAACGATTTGCCGTACAGCACTCTTATGTTTTTGCCTGCAGGATTGAAACCACTGGTGCTGGGCTCCCAGGTGAAGGAAGGTGGCACTCGGCGGAAGCGCGGGCCCAGCCTCATGACCCGGTTGAAAACCATGGCTGGCCATGAAGGAGGGCAGCACGAGGAATGCCCCGGCCTGCAGCTGAGCAGAAAGGGTGGCCATCTGCCAAGGGAGGGGGGCAACCGTACCCAGCACACGCTCACGGCACACCTCCACGCCTGCCTGCAAAACCTGGGCAAGCACTATCGCAGCGTTGCCGTACCCACCACTCCGCACACCAGGTGGGTTGTGTTTTGGTAGTCCGTGCATCCGCTCACTCACGCGGCGGCCAGTGCGCATTTGACGACCGTGGTGCTGACCACCTGTTCACGACCTGTGTTCGCAGATGCTGCCACTTTGTGGTGGAGGAAGGTGAGGCTGCCGCCCTGGCGTTCTGCCATCACGCCGGCTACGCCATCGTGGGGGCGCACTGCCAGAGGCTGCAGGAGCTTTCCAAGCGCCGCGCACGGCTCCTCTTCTCCAGAGACTATGTTCAGGCTCTGACCTCGGCCTCCTTGTACGTGCGCCACGTGTCGGGGCTGCTGAGCGCCGACAGGGACTTGCTGTGCGACCTGCGAGGTCGGTGCCACTCTGGCAGCATTGCAACGGCTCAACACCAACTCCCGCCTCTGAAAAGCACCTGCAGTGAGTTGCAGGATTTATGTAAGAGCTGGAGTGAGCTTTACCAGCGGGTGAGGAGCGACCCGGCTCTCGGAGAGAATGCATGGACACACGGTGCCCACTTACCTGGGGTGGCACAGAGTAGTACCCGCGACCTACGGACTCAGCAGAGGTCTTGCTTTAACAGGTCGTCCCTGCCGTTGCTGGCTTTGCAAGGTGTTAGTTGCATGGAGCAGCTGCTGTGCATCAGGCTGTGTCTTCTTGCCAGGCATCCTGATCTTGTGCCAAAAAGCGACATTTGCCAAGCCATTGTCATGTTCAACAAAACACTTGCAGAGTTCCAAACGAGTGATTGCGCCAAATGCTGCATTTACCCAAAGATTGATGCTTGTGCCTTCCCCAGTGGGTTGGCTGTGAAGGTCGTTTCTATGCAAAAAGTGCTCAAGATTGTTGCAAATGAGCATGCAGTATCAGTTGCTCACACTCTGTGCAGTGCCTTTTCACCAGACCGGGAGTGGGACGTCAGCTTGGGGAAAGTGGCCAATGCAGATGATGACTTTTTGGCTCAGATTGGTCTCCTACCTGGTTCTGATGTCCCTGTTGGCTCCACTGACGAAGGCCTGACACGCGGCCAGGCTCCTCCAAAGGACAAATTGAAGGACAAGACTGCATCCATTGTGTACATTCTTAGGCAGCTGTGCTCAGCAGAGGACGGCTTTATAAAAACAATCCTGGCCGTCTGTTTATCCAACGTAAGCCTGCCCGAGGAAAATGCCGTCCTACAACAGGAAACTCGTATCGTCGGTCAATCATACCTGAGCCATCGCTTGTCGGATTACATTGAGCAAGGCAGTGACAGGTGTTTGGCTGAAACGTTGCGCGTGGAAGGTGAAACTCCGCGGATCCCGGGCCCCCCTGCTGCAATGTTCTCAGAGACGACGAGTTGGGCGCGGTGGTACGAGCGGCGGTTGTGGCGTGGCGTGTCCACTCGCCTGCTGGGACGGCTTTTCTCACCCACACATGCCTGCGACGGCGGAGCCCATCGCGGCCTGGGACCCTTGGGTTTCCACCCTTACCCGGTGGTGATGGCGCTGGTTGAAGACCTCCGGAAGGCGGGCGCGCAAGGTGTGTTCGCACAAAGCCTTCGTGTTTACACTTCGTCTTTTCTTTTTTAATCGATGCAGTGCTCTCAGTTATCCAGGCGCGAATGAGCCTTGCTCGTCCGCGTCTTTCACACTCGCGCTGGTTTTGTTATAGTTGCTGCTTACTCACCAAGGGGCAGTGACTCTGTCGCGTTACTCTAGAAGCTATCGCATAGCTCACAAACGTCAACTGGGACGTATTATTTACACAAACTCGCCATGCGCTCGAAGAAGAAGAAGTGACCTGGTGCCCATGCGATTACAAAATGCTTTGGCAAATAAACTGATAACTTTAAAAAGCCAATAAAAACAGTTGATACATTCTACGTATTCACCCACATTCTACAAAGGTTCGCTATAAATGCCCTTTTTAGAGCCCGACTTACACGTATTTTGCATCATCCGTGTTTGTGTTTTACACTGCGTAACCGAGAGTTGGCTGCATAAAAAAAAAGTTTGTTGTGCCGTTCAACAATTTGTGAGCTGTTGGCAACCGTGCATTTCCCCTCGCTCGTTTCGAGAGGCAACTTACGAGAGTCGCTGTCCTGCCATGCAGAGTGCCTGCCTCTGGAGTGCCAGCAGCAAGTGCGGGCTGCATCCTCGCATCTGCACGCGTGGCTGGTCATGAGGAGCTGGGATGCAGGTGCCTGTCGCCCCCATTCCCCGCCCGCCCCCACCATTCCCCTCCATCACCCACACCGACCTCCCTCCCCTCCCCGCCCGTCCATCCAGAGTTGCGGCTTATCATGATGGATGGCGAGTTGAAGAGCAACGTGTCTTGCCCAACAACCACAGATTTACCACTCACGGTCCGGACGCGTGATTAATGTCATTGAGATGCGGGCGCTAAGTGACTAACTATTGGCATGTCTGGATGGATTGCAGTGTTTTGCCAAGCGCTGAGCTCGGCGTCGCGAGACCGCTGCGCCCCGTGCGCCGACGAGGGTGCCTGCATGACCACGACTGCTCGGCTCTTCCACCAGTCTCTGCTTCCACTGCAGTCCTTGCTGGGTACATTGATCAACTGGCTGTCTTCCAGCATCTGTGCTTTCCTGCCCTAACGATCTAGATGGAGCAAATGGTCTCCTCTCGTTAGTAACCTTTCCAATGTTCTGATATTCCGAACTTTACAAGCCTCGCAATTATTTTATCGGTTTGCTTTTCAGACGCAGAATTACTATTTTTAGAGACACTGCACACGGTTGTTGTGTGGCCACTAAGGCCAGGTAGGGGTATTTGAGATATCCGTGACTGTAAATGTGGACAGAGGCAGACCATGTGGCACACTGGAGGAGGAGGGAGGAGGAGGGAGGAGGAGGGAGGACTGAGAGCACTCGACACTGTAGACGATGGCACTGTGGCCATGGCATGACCAGGAGAATTCTAATCAGAAAATAAAGTTGTAACAAAAGCATTGTCTTTTATTTCTCTTGTTTGTAGCCAGCTGTCATGGTACCACATTGCTGCCATCTGCGAACAGCCTGATCGCACGGTGTGCTATGGAGCGAGGCTTGGCCACCCTGCAGGCTGCGTTCCATTGGCTGTCGACTAAAAGCTTCCACTTCTTGGCGTCGTGGTCCCTGGAGGAGGTCTTCCTGGTGACGCAAGGAGATCTCCGAGTGAGTGCTCAACCTTGCACGACCGCTCATCAGCGTTTTACCCGTGTGGCGCTGATGTTTGAAGGCAATTTGCCAAAGTACAGTGCATTATGAACACTTGCTTTCTGTTTGCATAAAATATGATTTGTGGTTGGTTTGTGGTGCTTACAGAAGCTTTATTTGTATTGAATGTCAGATTTTCTTGGAAGCGAGTTCAGCATTTTTGTTGCTGGCTAAAGCCGCTTCCGTGAGTGCGGGGAGCGATGGGCGGCAACGTGATGCACGCAGTGCGCTCACTCTGCTGGAAAACACAGCCTTGCAGCTGCAGGTGAGATGCCTCGCCCGTCATAACAAAAACAGACAAAGATCTCTGTATAGCCTTTTGCAGGCCGTTGGGGAAAGTGCGGTCAGCGAGCATCCGTGAAGGCCGGCACGACACTCCAGTGTCGCGTGTCTGGCGCCACACCTGGCCACCTTTGTCTCCCCAGTGCTGATGTTTTCCAGGAACCCGGGAAAGGTTGCGTCTACCTAGGGCAGGGGTTGGAATCTGCGGCTCCAGAGGTGCATACGGCCCTTTCAGGACTGCTTTGTGATGTTATTTATTAAAGACCACCATCTTGTGTTCACATGTATGCATTGCGGCTCTTGAAATATTGAGTTTTTTTTTACCAAATTCGAAAAAATGTCTCAATGTTATTCTGGTTGCCAACCCCTGACCAAGGGGAAGTCGAGGACTAATTCAGGTGTCATGTGGCACTCATTATCCGTGGAGGCAGGTTCATAACCCCGTGCCACTAACCACCGCGCTACCGATTGTCTCCCTGGCATCGTACTTACACAGGAAACTCCGTCGTGTGTTTTTCACTAATCGTGGATTCTCAATGCGTCCCTCGCAGACCCTTTCTGAGGAGATCCTGCGGCTGTTTGCGAGTGACTGCAAAAAGATGGCGCAGGAGACACTGGAGCAGACCATGCCCCTCGGCAAGCAATGGCGGCTCGCCAAGGAGCTTGGTGAGAGGTCCCCTCCTGGCATCCCCTCTCGACTTGCCCTTACTTTCATTGCAGTAATTAACCTCGGGAGATATTGATGAGCTTGTTGGTGAGCTTATTGGTTCAGAGGGTGAATAAGAATCTATATATATAAAATCGTTCATGTCTGTCTGTCTGTGTGTGTGTGTGTGGACTTTGGCCCATACGCACTTTCATTGGACGGCGGTTGCCCCTGGCAACGGCTAGCCACGCCTTCGCCGCTTTCATTGGACCTGGCAACGGCTAGCCACGCCTTCGCCAAGGGCTGCAGTTTCATTGGACGGCGGTTGCCCCTGCCAACGGCTAGCCACGCCTTCGCCACTTTCATAAGCTCCGTATTTAATTAAATAATAGCCATTACACAGTATTGTTGGAGCGCTAGGGGGGGGGGGGGAAGGAACGCCACCCGTACCCTGCCTTTTCCAAGCCGACAATTTTAGGCGAGGCCGCAGGCTTTGCACGCTACTAGGCCTCGACACCCACCACGCCACTCTGAGGTAAATTCATCAAAGTTTTTCCTACTCTTCACTACACCCCCACCACAATGTGTGCTATTAATATTACTTTTAAACCCAACGCGCCAACAATCGATTACTTTAATGTTCACTGTACAAATACTCATTAAGCTGGGTGAGCGTACTGCCAGTCTATCATGTACACTGTAGCCTGCTTATTAAGCTCGGTGAGCGTACTGCCACTCTATCATGTACACTCTAGCCTGCTTATGAAGCTGAGTGCGTGTACTGGCAGTCTATAATGTGGACTCTTGCCTGGTTATTATAATCGATTCTTTATATGTTCTTTGTACAAACAGTCATTAAGCTGCTTGAGCGACCCCAGTTCGATTCCAACTCACGCCCACCACCGCTGACGATTATTTGAAACGGACCTGGCCCTCCCCTAGGTCCACTCAGCCTCAAAAGCGTAACTGCTGTCGTGTGTGAACATCGTCACTGGGGAGACAAAGGCGGCGGGCCATCGTGGATCCAAGTCCCGGGCGAAGCCGGGTCATGTGTGTTTATGTGTATGTCTGTGTGTCTCTATGTATGTGTGTATGTATGTGTATGTATGTGTTTGTGTGTACGTGTGTGTGTATGTATGTGGGTTTTTTTTATGTCTTTATGTGTATGTCTGCGTGTCTCTATGTATGTGTGTATGTACGTGTGTGCATGTGTTTGTGTGTATGTATGTGTGTGTCTATGTATGTGTGTGTATGTGTTTCTGTGTATGTATGTGTGTGTATGTATGTGTGTTACGTGTCTGTCTGTGTGTCTGCATGTATGTGTGTGTGTATTGTGTATGTGTTTGTGTGCATGTATGTGTGTGTTTGTGTGTATGTGTATGTCCGTGTGTTTGTATGTGTGTGTATGTGTGTGTATGTGTTTGTGTGTATGTGTGTGTATGTATGTGTGTGTATGTGTTTGTATGTGTTTGTGTGTTTACGCTCGCATTACACAAATGTGTTGCTGGTCTAAGGCGTTCCTCGCACAGCATTGCCGCTTTATTATTTCAGTCGTTTACTGCCTTACGCACCCTGAAAGTCGTGTGTGTCTGCAGCAAGCGCGTGTATGTGTACCTATGGACGCGCGCGCGTGTGTTGTGTAGGGGGAACGGTAGTGTAGTGCTTAGCGTGCTGTCTGTCTGTGTGTGTGTCTGTGTGTGTGTCTGTGTGTGCGCGTGTGTGGTGTGTGGGGAGCGGTAGTGTAGTGCTTAGCGTGCTGTCTGTGTGTCTGTGTGTGTGTGTCTGTCTGTGTCTGTCTGTGTGTGTCTGCGTGTGTCTATGTGTGTGTGTCTGTGTGTGTATCTGTGCGTGTGTCGTGTGTGAGGAGCGGTGGGTGTAGTGGTTAACGCTACGCTGCGCTACCAACCCGGCGAACCGAGTTCGATTCCCGCTCATGGCCACCCCCGGTCAAGATTATTTGAACCTCCCCTAGGTCGACTCAGCCTCAAACGAGTAACTGGTGTGGCGTATTAACATCGGCACTGGGGAGACAAAGGCGGCCGGGCGTGGTGGATCCAAGTCCCGGGCGAGGCCGGGTCATGTGTATGTGTGTATGTGTTTATGTGTATGTCTGCGTGTCTGTATGCATGTGTGTATGTATGTGTGTGTATGTGTTTGTGTGTATGTATGTGTGTGTGTATGTACGTGCGTTTTTTTGTATGTGTTTATGTGTATGTCTGCGTGTCTGTATGTATGTGTGTATGTACGTCTGTGGATGTGTTTGTGTGTATGTATGTGTGTGTCTATGTATTGTGTGTATGTGTTTCTGTGTATGTATGTGTGTGTCTATGTATTGTGTGTATGTGTTTCTGTGTATGTATGTGTGTGTCTATGTATTGTGTGTATGTGTTTCTGTGTATGTATCTGCGTGTATGTATGTGTGTTATGTGTCTGTCTGTGTGTCTGCATGTATGTGTGTGTGTATTGTCTATGTTTTTGTGTGTATGTATGTGTGTGTTTGTGTGTGTGTGTATGTCTGTGTGTATGTATGTGTGTGTATGTGTTTGTGTGTATGTGTGTGTATGTATGTGTGTGTATGTGTTTGTATGTGTTTGTGTGTTTACGCTCGCATTACACAAATGTGTTTGCAGGTCTAAGGCGTTCCTCGCGCAGCATTGCCGCTTTCTTTTTTCAGTCGTTTACTGCCGTACGCACCCTGAAAGTCGTGTGTGTCTGCAGCAAGCGCGTGTATGTGTACCTATGGACGCGCGCGCGTGTGTTGTGTAGGGGGAACGGTAGTGTAGTGCTTAGCGTGCTGTCTGTGTCTGTGTGTGTGTGTGTCTGTGTGTGTGTCTGTGTGTGTCTGTGTGTGTGTCTGTGTGTGTGTCTGTGCGTGTGTGGTGTGTGAGGAGCGGTGGGTGTAGTGGTTAACGCTACGCTGCGCTACAAACCCGGCGAACCGAGTTCCATTCCCGCTCACGGCCACCACCGGTGACGATTATTTGAACCTCCCCTAGGTCGACTCAGCCTCAAACGAGTAACTGGTGTGGCGTATTAACATCGCCACTGGGGAGACAAAGGCGGCCGTGCGTGAGTGGTGAGGGAGGGAGAGTGGTGAGGGAGGGAGAGTGGTGAGGGAGGGAGAGTGCTGAGGGAGGGAGAGTGGTAAGGGAGGGAGAGTGGTGAGGGAGGGACTCAGCCGCAAAACGAGTAACTGGTGTGGCGTATTAACATCGCCACTGGGGAGACAAAGGCGGCCGGGCGTGGTGGATACAAGTCCCGGGCGAAGCCGGGTAGTACAGCTAGTAGTAACATATACGTGCATCCCTTTTGTCAATCCGCTGCTAGATGAGGGCCTTTTTATGCCACCAAGATCAATAGTTATTTGGTCATCCTTCACCACGCTGGTCAGTGCAGGTTGGTGAAGGTGGGACACATATACATTGTAGCATGGTACAGTACAACAAAGCATTCTGCTGCACTGCCCTTGGCTTCCCTTGGCTTCCAACGTAGGCCTGATCCCCTGCTGATTTTGTACGTTTGCCCACTGACAAAGAAATGATCAGTCTAGAATTTTAATGGTAGGTTTATTTGAACAGTGAGAGACAGAATAACAACAACAAAAATCCAGAAAAACACATGTCAAAAATTTTATAAATTGATTTGCATTTTAATGAGGGAAATAAGTATTTGACCCCTCTGCAAAACATGACTTAGTACTTGGTGGCACAACCCTTGTTGGCAATCACAGAGGTCAGACGTTTGTTGTAGTTGGCCACCAGGTTTTCACACATCTCAGGAGAGATTTTGTCCCACTCCTCTTTGCAGATCTTCTCCAAGTCATTAAGGTTTTGAGGCTGACGTTTGGCAACTCGAACCTTCAGCTCCCTCCACAGGTTTTCTATGGAATTTAGGTCTGGAGACTGGCTAGGCCACTCCAGGACCTTAATGTGCTTTCTTCTTGAGCCACTCCTTTGTTGCCTTGGCCGTGTGTTTTGGGTTATTGTCATGCTGGAATACCCATCCACGACCCATTTTCAATGCCCTGGCTGAGGGAAGGAGGTTCTCACCCAAGATTTGATGGTACATGGCCCCGTCCATCGTCCCCTTGATGCGGTGAAGTTGTCCTGTCCCCTTAGCAGAAAAACACCCCCAAAGCATAATGTTTCCACCTCCATGTTTGACGGTGGGGATGGTGTTCTTGGGGTCATAGGCAGCATTCCTCCTCCAAAAACGGCGAGTTGAGTTGATGCCAAAGAGCTCCATTTTGGTATCATCTGACCACAACACTTTCACCCAGTTGTCCTCTGAATCATGCAGATGTTCATTGGCAAATTTCAGACGGGAATGTATATGTGCTTTCTTGAGCAGGGGGACCTTGAGGGCGCTGCAGGATTTCAGTCCTTCACGGTGTAGTGTGTTACCAACTGTTTTCTTGGTGAATATGGTCCCAGCTGCCTTGAGATCATTGACAAGATCCTCCCGTGTAGTTCTGGGCTGATTCCTCACCATTCTCATGATCATTGCAACTCCACGAGGTGAGATCTTGCATGGAGCCCCATGCCGAGGGAGATTGACAGTTCTTTTGTGTTTCTTCCATTTGCGAATAATCGCACAAAACTGTTGTCACCTTCTCACCAAGCTGCTTGGCGATGGTCTTGTAGCCCATTCCAGCCTTGTGTAGATCTACAATCTTGTTCCTGACATCCTTGGAGAGCTATTTGGTCTTGGCCATTGTGGAGAGTTTGGAATCTGATTGATTGATTGATTGCTTCTGTGGACAGGTGTCTTTTATACAGGTAACAAGCTGAGATTAGGAATACTCCCTTTAAGAGTGTGCTCCTAATCTTTGCTTGTTACCTGTATAAAAGACACCTGGGAGCCAGGAATCTTTCTGATTGAGAGGGGGTCAAATACTTATTTCCCTCGTTAAAATGCAAATCAATTTATAACATTTTTGACATGCGTTTTTCTGGATGTTGTTGTTGTTATTCTGTCTCTCACTCATTACAATTATAGACTGATCATTTCTTTGTCAGTGGGCAAACGTACAAAATCAGCAGGGGATCAAATACTTTTTTCCCTCACTGTACAAACCCGTCTTGTGCTCGGTCGTTGCTATCCAAGCTAAACTACTTTTTTATTTTACCAGGTAAGGTCCACTGACCTATGTATCTCTTTCAAAAACGACCTGGTCACAAATGATAGCTCAACGAAGTTGCTTATAACGTGGAATGTTATAGCAGCCAAATACTCTAAATCCCATGTTCTAAAATCCACAAGACCACGAGGGGGGAGAGACATGAAAACTCCTAATATACAAGCATCACGGTTGGGATCGAACCCATGACCTCCTGCATACGAAGCGAGGGAGTTAACATCTCAGCAGAGTGGCGCCCCACTGACCTGTCTCAAAGCTGCTTAGCGTCTGAGATCTAATGAGTCAAGGCACATTCTGTGTGATTTAGTCAGAGGATAATAGTAATATTCGTGATTTACTTTATTATAACCAGGATAAACCCATGAGATTCACATCCCATTTCCAAAGGGGTATTGGCAAGATGGTATCGATATTTAAATTCTGTGTAAAATTCACAAAACCAGCCACAAATTTATACAGTCAATTTTGCACATCAGAGTAATGCTTTACTTCAAACACTAAAAATGTTAATTTCCAATTAAATATTAAATTGTAATAAAATAAATGAATGATATAAAACGTTAGAGAGAGTTATTAAATTGTTTGAAGATGAAGTGCAGAGAAGACATTACGTGGCACAATGTAAACATGAAATGGGAAATTTTACACGGATCTTGAAATGAGTGGTTACATCATCGCTCGTGGCTGAGCGTGGTTCCCATGGGGCCTGGTGCAGCAAATTAAATGGGGGCCCCCTGTCCAATTTACTCCTCTTCTTAGCCCGGTGTCCGAACCCCTACGGTCCGTGGGTCCTGGTGCAGGTGCATCGCCTGCACAGTCAAATCTACACCACTGCATCACCACACGTCCACACGTGGTGTCGCGGCACCAGTTCGCGCCATCACCCTGCCCTCCCCTCCTGTCCCCCACAGCGGCACGCCCCACGGAGCCGAACGAGTACGCGCTGGTGGCAGTGGCCACGGTGGTGCAGCCCGTGATGGAGGCGCTCGCTCCGCTGGAGACGCACTGCCAAGCGGAGCCCGCAGCCCAGGTGTGCTCCGCCCTGATGCTCGCATGGATGGAGCACATTGTGCACAAAAAGGTCGTGTTCAGGTGACTGGAGCATGTGGACGTGCTAGCGTTTGCTTGTTGAGTAATTCGTGCTGCACTCGCCGATCATTCTGTTCCTATCATACAGACAAGGATGCGCATTATAAATGCGAGTACAGTTAGCTGTTAATTATCCGTATGCAGATTATCCGGGCTGTGGATTAACCGTGCTTGTGAAAATAATAGTAAAATATGAGAAGGGGCTGTAGGGGCTAATGATTTGCACTGCGCGAGTTAGCACTGACACAAACAAGGTGGATGGGTTAAGTCGGGAACGTCCTTGGCATGTCGGCAATGAGCCAGTGTTTTTAACTGCCGCTCAACTCTCAAGTTGTCACTCAATCCTTGGCACGATTTCTCGAGTGCGTGTGCCGTGTGCCCATGGCCAAATAATCCGCAGTGCACCCAATCCCATTACAACCCGTAAGCTAAGCAGAGTTTATCCTAGATCGTTCTTGGATGGGTGACTTCTATGCAAATAATCTGGTGTTGTAGACGTCGGAAACGGAGGTGAGTGCAATATCCATTTTTCTGTACTGCCCGCACCATCATCAACCCACATTGACCATCGTCAAGTTACGGTTAAATAACCCTAACTTTCCTGCATGGCGTGAAGAGGTCCTCATCCAGCAGTGTACGCATGCGTTTGTGTAGCGTGCAGGGCGGGCTTCAGCTGAAGATGGATTTCCAGGCGCTGCGCTCTTACGTGGCCTCCGAGTCGTGCCCCCTGGCACCGGAGACACGCCGCCGAGTCCTCGGCCTCAGCGTTTTCCGCCATGCGGAGGAGGCGGCACGCTGCCTGCTCAAGCAGCCCCGCCGCCCGCCCAACCTGCTGGAGCGGGGGAGGGGCCAGCTGAGTGAGTGCCCTGGATTCCCACACCCTGCTGCCCCCCTCCTGTCATTGCTTGCCTCTGTTACCGAACTTTGCACCAAGGCCTCCGGCTTGCACCGCTATGCGGTATCGCGGCGCGAACGCGGTTGTGTTTGCACGTAGACCTACTCAGGTCCCTCCTTGGCCATTTTATTTTATATGATACGGACTGCGCCTTATAAATGAGCTCACATTACATTTCAATCGGCTGTGTGCAGATTAACCGAGTTAGGGATTAAACTTGCTTGCACATTTTTTTTTATAAAATGTTTTTACACGCCCTGGTTTAATTATGAGCTGCTCACTTTCCAAGGATCGGTGACTCACGCAACCACAAACACATCAGCAAGTAATTTGATACTTTAAGAAGAAATAAACAGACCATGCTGTCTTCTTCCCCACTCTGCCTTGGTTGCAACAGCCTCATTTGCATTATAGTGCTTATGTGTTACTCCTCTCCTATGTCGTGGATTACTGAGAGTTGACTGGTTTTTTTCCTACACCTGAAACATTTTCATAAAACGTTGACTCTTTACAGTGCGGTTTATTAAAAGGAGAGGTTGGTTTTCAGCCCGACACTGCACCCTTCTCGCAGGCAGCTTGTGCAGCAGGGGGTCGGAGGTCAGCAGTTACCACAGCCTCGAGAGCCTGGACTTCCCGTGCATCAGCTCCAAGGTGCTCCCAATCGGGGAGCCCCAGGACCCCGGCGAGTCGGTGGAGAGTGTGAAGCCGTTCCCGCCCCCCCCTCCGAGGCAGGGCAAGGCTCACGATTACGGCACCAGCAACGCCACGGCACCAGGTGGGGAGGGAGAGAAGTGCTTCCCGTCCGCCAGCGTGGACACGGAACGCTGCCGCCCGGTCGCAGACCGACGCGACGACGACGGCAGCGGCACCGCCAAGGCCCGCGGGCACGCGACGTCGGACGCCGGGCCGCCGGACGGGAACCGCGTTTCCGTGACCGAGGAGGGGATCGTGCCCGATAGGACCACCTCGCCCCTGCCGTGCGAGACGGACGTGTTTCGGCAGGAAGTGTGGCTGGCCTTGAGGCTGCACGGTGGGGTCAGGCGGTGGCGCTTCCCACAGCTGCCCTGCTTGACCAGAGAACCGGAGCAATGAAGGTGATGGGGCTTCGGTGCCGGCGTTCCTTCAGCAGAGGATTCTACATCGCACGGACTTGCGCTGTGTGAACGAGCACCCTCTGCAGCCTGCATGCAATATGAGTAATCGACGTTTGGGGAATGCTGCTACGCTGGGGTCCACATGTAATGAAGCCATGTTCTCAGGGCTTAATTTCTGACCGCATATATTCTGGGTAGAGTAGGCACGTGACTCGTAGCCACAGCCATAGTGAGCAACATAATGGATGTGCTGTGCCGGGAGTGGATATTTTTCGTGGGCATACCCGGCTGAAATGCTTGTACTGTTTTTCATTGCGATTATGTGCATTTCCCCACTTGCATACAGTAAGTCACGGGTGTTTGGAGAATGCTGCTCCACGTAGGTTCAGATGTAATGAAGCCATGTTCTCAGAAGCGTTTGGCTGATGAGAGCAATGACCTGATTTCTGCAATTTCTTGTCATATATTGATGCATCTATAAATTTTAAAGGACACATTGTAAACTAATCTATGCTTTGTGAAATGTATATTTTGTTTACGTTGTACGACATAAACCTTTTATTCTAAATGTTTGATTTGTAGATACAAAGTCTTTATACAGGACACCATGATACCTTGGGTATTTTTTTGTATTTTATGCAATGTGAGTCCTGAGTAAATGTTTCGCATATTTTCACTTGTCGGGGCGACCCTGCTGGTGGGTGGGTGTGGAGTGACCTTTTGGATGAGTGCAGTTTCTCATGCTCCATAACTCACCCATTCGCACACCAACCACAATGCTGCACCTACAATCTAGCATCGGCCGTGTTCCATCCACTGCTGGATGAAACCCCCCCCCCAAGTCGCTGCCTTCACTCACGGTCCTACGATCCATCCAGTAACTCGTTCCTGCACGGGAGCCGATTCAATCGCTCCCTCTGCACCGTGGACATTCCGTCACCGACCACTACCGGTGTTGGTCACAACCACCGGAGATCGTTGTTTCAAATGTACCGCTCAAGCACACACTACGTTACATCAAATAGTAGTGTCTGGGTCGTACGTGAAATCATAATTGTCTGATGTGCAGCACTTTGGCGGTGGTTCGGGGAGTAAGAGCAACGCGTACGGATCTCTTTGAGCATCTGGTTGTCGTGGTTGCCTGGCAGGCCTCGCCTCTTGGGAGCGGCCCGTCCTAACCCTGCCTGTCTGGCTCCCTCCCCGACTTGGCCCTGCTGGCGTTTTGCAGACAGGGGTGTGACGATGCAACAAGCATGCATTATTTACAATGAGGCGGCCACTTCGATAAGCGCGGATGTCGTGCGCCGTCCCCCCCCACCCCCTCCATCTGTACAAGCGGTGGTGGATGCGGTGATCCGTTTGAGATGACCGCCGCTTGCTGGATGAACATCGTCTCAGGGATTAGCAACAGATGGGAAAGTCTTGGAATCGCGTGGCTAAATAGCGCCAGCAATCTCCACCTGCCCCGAACGCGGACTGTGTTCACGCGGACTGAAGGACCGCGTGTGGCTGTTAGGACCGCGTGTGGCTGTTGAGGCCGCGAGGTGGCAGCGCCGGACCTCGGCCTAACCTTGTCGTGCAACAAACACGACAACGACAAGAATAACAACAAAAACTCGGTAGGAAGCAGCGGTAACCAGGCCGCGCTGTGTGTGGCCCTGTGGGTTGCTCGGAGAGACCGAGGCTCTGTCCTGGCAAGTGGGTCCACGTGTTCCCAGCGCAGGGCCGAGTGCGCACGCACGTGGGCTGCTGTCGGCGCGCGTCGTCCCGTTCGTGTCGTGCCAAGCAGTCGATGGACATCACGCCAATCAGCCGGTTCGGCGACAGCGGTTCTCGAAGTAAATCCGTGCCCTCGTTCGGAGGAGTCGCCCTCGTGGGCAGCTTAAACTATTAACGAAGTCAATAACTTTGCTGGGTCTGGGCCCGGGACTCTGAATCTGCAATTTCCCCGAACACTGAACTCGGATGTCGTCCGGACTGTTCCACTCGGGATTTGGAGGGTGTCTCGATCACGCGCCTCGATCACTCTCACGCGGGTCACGACGGCGCGACCATCACGTATCATGAAATAGAGCTCATAGACATTACACCAAAGATATAAATCAATTTTCTAAGGTCACTGTCGCATAAGTGGAGCGAATTTAGTTTTAACCCCGAACCACCCCCCCCCCACCAGAATGTGGCGCGGGTGGTAGAGTCGGCCTATAAAGGCGGCGCGCCGCGCGCTCCGCTCGCAGTCGGAGCGGCCGGCGCCTCGGGGACGTCAGCGGCAGCAGCAGCAGCAGCGGCGGTGGCGGTGGCGGCGGCGGTGGCCATGGACGCGTACGTACGGGGCCCACTCCTCCCCCGTGCAACCGCGTGACCCGGGCGAGTCGGGCAGGCGCAACACGTCCGCGACTGTCCGTGCCTCGCGGTGACGAGAGCTGCGGTCGGGGCCCCGTGGACGGGTCCAGCGAGGGGCAGGCAGAGAGACGGGGGGTGGGGGTGGGGGGCAGGCGGGGGGGCCGCGTGCTCGGGCCTCCACCCTGGGCCTCCACCCTGGGCCTCGCGAGCGGCCTCGCCCGCAGGACCCCCCCCCCCCCAGCCCCCCCAGCCCGAACTGAGGTCCCTTTGTTGTAACGAGTCCCGCGGCCGTGGCGGCGACAGAGGGGGCGCTGGGGGGGGGGGGTGCAAGTGACGAGGTGCGGGCAGGGCTCGCGTGACGAGGGGTGAGGTGATGTCCGCTTACGGGGTGGACATTGGGACGCGTGAGAAACGAGGACGTGGAGACGAGGACACGGGCGACATGGTGTGTGTGTGTAGAGAGAGAGAGACTTGCGTGACGAGCTGGCGATAATACAGTCGCCGCTGATGAGGTGGTAGATCGGTAACCGAGTGACGAGTCGAGTACAGTATACATACTGCATGGTGCGCATGAGACCCGCGTGACGAGGTGGGGGGACGGAGCGTGCGAGACGAGTTTAGACGGCTGAGTGGGTGGTGACGAGGGGTTTGTATGTCGGTGGAGCGCATTGGACAGAGGGGTGGTGGAGGGTGGACGCAGCGCGGGGTGACGATGCACACCCATCCACCTTTCCGCGTGTGTCGGTCGACCCAGTTTACATTGGCCACTTGCTCTCTCCTCATTAATCCCGGGTGCCCTAAGTGGCAGCCCAGACTATATCTGCGATGCCTGGAGAGTTTGTGTGGAGGCCCAGTCAGTCGGGTCCATCATCATCACCACCACCACCCCCATCCCTCGGGAGCGATGGTGGTGGTGGGGTGGGGGTGCGTGAGCGATGGCCGAGAGAGAGAGGGGGGTGGTGGGGGGGGTGCAACCGCGCTGATATTTGATACGCCAATTAATTTTCGAGGTTACGTTTGTGTTGGCAAACCTCTAGTATTGCCAGCAAGGTTGGCGAGGTTGTCTGGTTGTGTTATTTCGGGGTTTGGGGCTTTGGTAGCTGGAGGAGGAGGTATGTTGGTAGTGGTTACGCCCCCAATGCATGGCTTCTGCGAGGTGTTTACAGGCAATTAGGCGGGGCTGCAGGCAATTCTCCAGGCAATTTTGCAGCCTTTCAACCATCTGACACGAGCGGGCCGTCGCCTCCTATGCATATCCGACTTGCTCCCTTTAGTCTTGATTAATGACAATGTTTGAGAGAGAAAAAATAATACATGCAACCAAACGCATCAGTTATTGGCAGCGTGCACGGCCAAACTATTAATTTCCTGTTTAAAACTAAATATATTTAAAATATTAAAATCGCGCATGTGTTTGCTCTTACAGCTGTGGTAACATTTACACGTGTGTCTCTGCTGCTTCCTTGTTTGGTTATAAGCCGATTTTACAGAGCAGCCATGCCCGACATCTTGGGCTGCGAGGGCCATGGACTCGAAAACGAGGCCACATGAGGCCCTTCCTCCCTCACTGAGCCAGTGTAACCTGATTAATGCTCCACCGTGGGCCCTATCTCCTGCCCGTGCCCCCCCCCCCCTCGTGATCTCCCCATGGGCCCTGTCATGTCTCCTCTCCACATGGGCCCTGCTTCCCTGGTAGCCCTTCTGTCCCAGGGCAGTGCTCTTTGTGCCGGCACATGGTGGAGGTGGTGGTAGCTGTGCTCACTGCAGCGGCCACCAAAACCGTCGCCCGGCACCGTCTTCAACAATAATGAGTGCTTGTTCCTCTGACCCACTGCCAGCGCAACACACTTCCCTAACTGCGCCGCGGCGTCAAGTCCTGACACCGCAAACGCTTGCGACACGAGCTGCTGGAGTGTGTGCCGTGCCAGAGACCAGCTTCTGAAAAGCATCACGAGTGTCCCTCACCGTAATCATTACCATCATGGCGGGGGGCGGGGGGGAGGTGGTTTCCATCGAGCTTTTTTCCCGAGAGAAAAATAAAAACTGCTGCGGTGTTGGAAAATGCCTTTGCCCAGTTGTTTAGCCGAGGTCCTAGTGGCAGGCCTCGCTTGGCTGTGGCCTTGGCCTTGTCTGCTGCACGTCCCCTGCCAGGACCGGTTTTATCGGCGAGGGGAGGTCGTTGGGAGGCTTGGGTTGGCTTTCATTCCCTACCGCGGGGCTGTGTAAAGTAGAGGAGTGGCAGTGGTGAGGCTTACAGGCAAAGCGTGCAAATTAGTGTGTGTGATTTAACTGGCTTGCGCCAAGCCATTACAGCGACTGGCGTTTAAAAACTGCAGCTTTGGCAAAGCGGTGGAAAGCTTGAGTGCAAAATCTTCGCTGGGAAATTTGCCACCCTTCCCACAGGTTTGCAGAAGGTGGGACGCATGTCTTCCACGATCAAGTCCCCATGCTCAGACCTGGGTGGGGACATCAGCACAGGCCTGACTATTTAACACATCCTCTGCAGCCCCTACGTCTGGAACTCCCCCCAACGCTCCATGCTGTCGAATCCCTGCCCTTCCTCAAGTCCAGGCTCAAGGCCTTACTATTTTCCTGTACCTATCACTGACTTTCTCGATGCAAAAAAAACTATCGCCACTTTTTCCGCACAGCGTCTTGAGATGCAATTGTATTTAGATGGTCTTAAATAAAAAATTAACTATTTAACTTTAATTACCTGAAAATACCGAAAGAATCAAACTTCTCCAAGATTGAGTTTCCCACTTGTGCCGGGCCTGACTTCACTGGACGATAACTGAGAGGCGGGGGGGGGGGGGAACGGTTTACCCAGAGCTGTCTTGATTCAATCACGCACCGCATGTCACCAATCTCACGCCTGCCGTGTCGGTCTCCTCTCTCTCTCCGCCTGTCCCAGGGGGGCTCCATCCCTCGCTCGCTCGCTAGCTTGCTCGCTCGTTCTCTCCCCGCTCACCTATTTGCATCCATCTTAATAGCGTGGCCATTTTGAAGCCAAATGCTGGGTGTGCACCCCTCAGTAAAAACAAACACATGCCGCCGCTGCGCCGTGACCCCCCCCCCTCACTCTGATTGCAGTCGCTCAGAACATCTCTCTACTGAGGGGCTTCTGCCTGACATCTAGGAAAGCCTTGTGGTAAACACACTTGGAAGCGAGTGGGGATATTTAAGGGCGCGACAGTGGTGAGATGTGAACTACCTCGCGTGGTATACAGCAGGTTATGGGTACGATCCCGACCCTGACGCCTGCAGTATATTTGGAGTTTACATGTTTCATTGTGATCGCGTGGATTTTTTCTTCAGGTCCTGAAGTTTTTCCCTCCACATTTAAAAACATGCATTTAGAGTATTTTGCTGCTTTAAATCTCCACGTTATAAGCCACTTCGTTGAGCTGTCATTTGTGGCCAGGTCGCTTCGGAAAAAAGAGCTATATAGCTCGGTGGTCCTTACCTGGTAAAATAAAAAGAAATAGTTTTTAAGTTTCATCTGCAGTGGAAATCCACTCACAGGGTGCGGGAGTGACAATGGGCGCTGGATAACAGGGAGGGAGCGTGCCACTCTCTTGTTGTGGCGTGGGGCGCTTCAGTCCACGCTTTGCTAGCGGAGTGCCCACGCTGGTGGCACGTGATAGCGCGGCGTGCTGGTAACGACTCACCACAAACACCTGCTTCCTGAATTTGCAGGTGATTTGACTGCCATTTGCTGCCTGGGCCATTTGTTTTGGATTGCGACGTTGCCATGGTGACGCTCATCACGGAGAAGCTGAAGAGCCAGGCCCTGGAGGACTCTTCCCGCCAGAGCGCAGGCCTGGTACGTGCACGCGTATTTGTGGGTGTGTGGTACGACTTGGCCTCAAATGAGTACCTGGTGAGATGTGTAAACATTACCATTAGGGAGACCATGGTGGCCAGGCATGGTACTGGCCACCCACCCCCTCGTATTTATTTAGCTGCAGTAAATTTCCACGTGACAAGCCACTAAGTTGAACTATCATTTGTGGCCAGGTCACTTCTGAAAAAGAGCCATGTAAGTTTAGTGGGCCTTACCTCGTAAAATAAAAATAGTTTAGTGCCGTGTCGGCATTCATATATACTCGCTAATGGAACTTTGCCCTGTTAAGGCTATACAGAGATCGTTGTTTTTGTACATGTGTGCGTGCATGGCACATGTGCCTGCATGTGTGTATGGTACGTAGGCTCCACGCATGCACAGCTCGTGTGTGTGTAGACTCATGTATGTGGTATGTACACGCCATGCACACACAACTAAAGTACGTGTGTGTGTGTGTGTGTTTGTGCTCGCACGTAGGTACGTGTGCTACCTGCGTGTGTGGGGGGGGGCATCGCAATAATTCTAGCCGTGTTGCGAATCTGGCAACATTGGTCCTATTACCAGTTGAGGATTCGCATCAGTAGCACGTGGCAACCCAACCGTTCCTAGGCCTCGTGTAAGTCAACTAAGCCTTGGATGATGACCCGCTGTGTTGTGTAAGCATCAGCACGGCAGAGACGCGGACAATCTCGCACGGTGCTCGCTCCACTTGTCTCTTTGTATGTCGTGCCGGTCTCAATAGGTGCTCGCCAACAGTACTTGACACAATAATGCATGTGGCCAAATGGGGGGGATCATTGTGTGTGCGGTTGGTAGACTTTGCACACAAGTGCAAAGGCAATATTTTTAATGCGCTTGTGATGTTTGTGGGTTCAATGTGACCCGACCTTGCCGTGCAGCGCAGCGGGCCCCAGGATATAGGTGGTAATTAACCCACGCCTCGCTCGAGTAAAGTAGAGCAGCAATTTGTTTTGCAAGCATGTTTTGATGTTCTCAAAACGATAACCAATAGCCCCAGCAAGCAACACTGGGGTGGGATGGCCGGTCCAGTGGTTAGCGCGCACTGCATTATAAACCCCACGACCCTAGGTTCATTCCCTTTCCTTGGCTCACATCAGTGGCGAGTGATGTCTGAACTGGTCCTGGGTCTCCCCTTTGGCAACCGGCACCGACCAGCCGTGGTCAAGTAATGGTCAAACACAAACCCATGTGACTGACACATCCACCCCGCAGTGGCTTGACAAAGGGCTGTGTGTACGCTCTCGCGAGATGACGCGATGTCGCTCGGCCCCAACGGTGAAGCGTTGTGGCCGCAGTGGAGCCGCCGATGCCGTCATTCTGTGAAAGCGTCCACCGCCGATTCGGAATTTTTTAAATGGGAGGGGGGGGGGGGGTGCCCAGTAACGAGAATGTGCATCGCCTTCACCACTCGCACCTCTGTGCCAATAACCAAACGACTGCTTCCCGCCGAGTTTTTCACAGCCGTTGCCCTAAAGGGGTTGGTGGTGCTCAGCAGCAGCAGCGGCTCGCTCGTTGAGCAGCCACAGACAATAGGAGCCGACACCTCCTTCCCTGCCCCAAAGCCAGCAGCTCTGCTCGGGGCCACCTGCTGTGCTGAGAGCCTTTAGGGCCCCACTGGGTGGGAACAAAAACAATTTTAATCCAATTCGTCTGAAAGAAAACACGCTCGAGTACAGTAAGAGCAGCAATTGTCAGTGCAAGTGTGTTTTGATGTATTCAGAACGATAATCGAGAAATCCAGCAAACTATCCAAAACAATCCGACAAAGTTACCATTGAGGGGCTTAGGAAGTGGTGGCAGTACCCTGTGAAGAAAAGTCTCCAAACTGTGCGGACTCCGTCTGAATGATCCATGAGGGTGAGCTCTGACAAAGGGTGAGCTCTGAGAAAGGGTGAGCGCTGGGAAAGGGTGGAGGGCGATCACGGCCAGCCTGGCGGTCGCGCGGAACCCCAGACCCCGCGCCGCTAGAGCCAGCCATGGGAGGTGGATGGGTTAGTACTTTGAGTTCGATCGTGCAGGTACAATGTTAATAAACAGCTGTGCATCCCTCCACCACCCGACATGGCCAAACACGTGAGGGGAGGGGGGGTTGTCGCAGGGAAGGATGCGCGCCCGGTTTGGTTTAAGTTTGTGCTGCGTTAGTCGGGTGGCTCAGGAGATTGTGCACACGTTGCACTGCCCGGTGGTGCCTGGGTGGGTTGCCAGATTTTTTTTGCATAGTTGCTGGACTAAGACCCAAAGGCCAAACATGTCCACGTGGCCAGCGACCAACGGCTCTGTAAAAGTTGTAAAAGACGCACGTTAACATGTTTTTTTTTTTAATTGAGCAAGCTTGGCGGGGAAGCTGACCACCACGGGTGCCTTGGTGGATGGCAAAAGTCGCAGGGTACCTCGTTAGGTCACGGGGTTAAACTAAAGAACTAAACTATTTTTATTTTATAAACTTTTATTTTTTTTAACCAGGTATGGCCAACTGAGCTATGTAGTGATTTTTTTTCAGAAGCGACTATGGCCACATGATAACCCAATGAAGTGGAAATTTATAGAGGAAAAAACTTGGAGAAAAATCCACACTACCACAGGGAGAGAGACATGCAAACTCAAATATACAGGCATCAGGGTTGGGATCAAACCAACGACCTTTATACCAGGCAAGGTAGTTAACATCTCACCCAGGTTACTGAAGAATCTTGACTTAAAGCATTCGTGACTGCAGGAATTCGTATTCTTTCGGTAAAGTCATGTATCTACGTGACTTTACCGAAAGACCCAAAGAATAGGTTCCTGAAGGTCGTGGGCCACGGTGTGGTGGTGCTGAGAACGGGACACACTGACACACAAACGCGCTGACACACAGACTAACACACTGCGCCGCTAAGCGGGGCCTGCGACGCTTACGACAGGTGTGCGGCGGGGCAGGTGCAATGCGGGGTCACAGGCAGCGCAGTGCACCGCCCACATCTCCGCAGCCACTCCCCGTGTCTCGGGGGGGCGGCCGCGGGGCCGTCAACCAGGTCGACGCGATGATTCCCCTGCCTGGTTATGCCACGAGGCGAACTGGCGACCAGAGAAGTGGAGTGGTGACTGCGGTGGCCCACGTCGGGGCTCGCCGCAGGAGGTTCGCGACGCCGGAATGATCGCTTGCTCGCACGGAGCCCGGTGGTGTAGCTATCTGGAGTCTGAGCACGCGGGAGCGGGGGGCGTTGACCTGTGGCGAGGAACGATTGTGTCACTGTTTGTATTGTGTGACTGACAATGCGGTAGAAAGGGGGGGTAATTGTTGGGTGTGTTGTGTGGGGATATTGAACATTCAATATTGATCGGCGTGTTCATTTATGTGTTGTCTGGTTGCCGTGCGTGCCCTCCGCGTGTATGTGTATGTCTCTATCTGTGGGGAGCAGTAGCGTAGTGGTTAGTGCGCTGCGCTACGAACCTGGCAACCCGATTCCCGCTCACTGCCAACACCGGTGACGATTATCTGAACCGGTCCTGGGCCTCCCCTAGGTCGACTCGGCCTCAAACGGGTACCTGGTGAGATGTGTAAACATTGCCACTGGGGAGACAAAGGTGGCTGAGTGTGGTGTTGGCCACCCACCCCCTTGTGTGCCGTGCCAGCCTTCATAGGTGCTCACTAACAGCACTTGCCCTAACAGCCTGTTAAGGCTATACGGGGGACCTTAGTCTGTATCTGTTCTGCTGTCGACGTCGAGCAACCACACGGCCTTGATTTTAAACATGTGCTTGAGAAGGCAAAGAAGGGTAACCGGTAGGCACAGCCATTTTGTAAACCACTGCTGGATGGAAGGGCGGCTTCCCCCTGCTCTGCAAGTTTTCGGGGTCATTTTAACAAGCTTCACCAACAATAGTAGAAGTTTGCTTTTTTGATGGCGTATGAATCGCCACATATTGATGCTTACGTAGGTGATTTTACACTGGCATCATCAGCTTAAGAATCGATATTAATCAGGTACACCTTGAGTCTGCAGTACTCTTAACACAAGGACTCGCATGAATTGTTTTAATCCAGCCGGTGTGACCTATTGTGCGCGTGTGCGTGCGTGTGCGCATGTATCATTCTGAAGAAGGTCTGTGGCGATTGGGGTATGCGTGTTGCATGTTTGTCGGGTGCAGGGCGTGCAGGATATGCGGCTGTTGTCATTCAGCCCTTCCCGGGAATGCCTATTTCACAAGCGCACAGCCAGACCCTCGCACGCATTCATTCGCAAGTCTCTCGCGGGGCCAAACAAACCTGGAACAGCCGTGGAAAGTTCTGTTTTTTTTGTTTAACCGGAGGCCCCTTCCCCTCTCTGCTTTGTGCGTTCACATGGCATTCTCTCCGCGCTGTCATTCAGCCATCGGCTTTATTGTCGCTGCGAGTATTGCACAACGGCGTTAATGCTCGATTGCGAATAGTGTAACACCCAAAACGCAATTGGCGGTGGCGGGTAAATGTGTAACGGCGGCCCTCGTGCGCCTTCGCAGTTTAAAGTCTGGATAAGAAAAAAAAATATTTTGTGAAGGCGGTGGAGTTGAGAGCGGGGAGAGGAATGCGTGTGACTCGAGTTTTGGGGCAAAGTGAAGTAGTCGCCCCGGAGGCACTTTCTGATATTCAAGTGCGAGGCTCCGTGATGATGCAGGCCGCCTCGCTAAGCAACTGCAGGCCTGCCCTTTAGGACACAAAGGAAATGTAAATACCGGGAGAAGCACTTGAGAACACACGCACCGCCCCGTGGGGTGGGTGGGAGTGGGGCGGGTGGGCTCTCGGAGGAGCCACAGGGCCCACGAGAGCCGTGCTGTGGGCCCTCTACGCTCCACAAACGGCGAGATGGCTGCACGCTATGCCATGGACTCGGGGGCCAGAAAACGCAGGCCTTAGCCCAAACCAACTAGCCAATACCAACACTAGTGCTAGCCCTAACGAACTAGCCAACCAAAGACTTGCACAAGCTGTAATCAGCGAGCCAAGCAAACCCCAGCCCTAACCCTAGTCATACGAGCCACCCAAACTATAGCCCTATCAGCACTGCTAACCAAACACTAGCCCTGAGCCCAAACCAACTAGCCGAGAGGGACACTAGCCCTTAACTATCAGCATCTGCCAACTAAGCACAAACTCGAACCAGGTGGCCAAGCAGCCACTAGTACTAGCCCTGCCAGTGACTCCACGTGTTCACAAAGGACCTTTTTCACTTGCTGCTTGTGTTTGTGTTAATGACAATGATGTTCGCTTTGCCTTTGCCCTGTTTCCTGAGCCCCCCAGTACCCCTCACTGCCCCCCCAAGCCTCCCACTCACACTGGGAACCTCCAGGGTGGTTATGTTAATTGAGAGCTATTTAATCTGTCCCACGTGTCTTATAGAGAGAGAGAGCGTGGAGTGGATGGGACTTGGCTCCCTCATCGTTGTGCGGGTCTCGTGAGTGGTAGTAGTTTGTCCTGGTGCTATTTCACGATCGTTTTAAACTAAAAATCTAACTTTTTATTTCACCAGGTAAGGCCAACTGAGCTGTATAGTTCTCTTTCAGAAGTAACCAGGTCACAAATGATAGCTCAACGAAGAGGTTTATGTGGAAATTGATAGCAGCCAAATACTCTAAATGCATGATTCTGAACGTGGAGGGAAACACCGGAGGACCCAGAGAAAAATCCACACGACCACGGGGAGAGATATACAGGCGTCGGGGTCGGGATCGAGCCCACGTCCTCCTGCGTACCAGGCGATGGAGTTAACATCTCGCCACCGCGGCACCCCTTCGGGCTGCAGGGGCGCCTGCAGGGCCCTGCAGCAACAGGTGACCGCTCACAATGGGCGCTCGCCCCCCCCTCCCCTGTGCCGCCGCTTAGCAGGTGCCACGCCGGCTCGTGCCGCCCCTGGCCAGGTGTGGCTCGTTGAGCGTGTTTGCGGTGGCGCTGGCCTTTGTCCTGCGTCGGCTCCAGCCGCCCTTCGCCACGGTCGCATCGCCCCGAGCTGGACTCGCAGATTCCAGTGCCCCAACAACGATCGGTCTGCTCATCATTGATCGCAGTTTCTCGCGAGTAATTGGTATTGCTCGCATATGGTCAGAGTGCTCGCTAATTATCTGAGTGCTCGGTAGCAGTTGCCGTGCTTACGAACAATCTGAGTGTCAGCTGACACTTGGAGCACTTGCTGAAGATTGGATCAGTAAAGTGCGCGATTCAAAGAATTTTCGTGATTCTTGGCACAGTTTGATTTTTGTATTTAGCCAGCACTGCCTGCACATTGACTCAAGATCCACAGCCACCCATGCACCAGTCGGCCAACAATATTTTTTTCGAATTTTTTGTATTACTGGCAAATGGGGGGCCTCTGGTCGCTGCAAACAACTGGTATGTCAACGCACATGATGCGGTGTGCATGTCGTGAGCCAAAGCATTTATTTTAATCGATGCATCGTTGCGCAGCGATTAAAAACCCATGAGTCAGACTTTGTGTGGCTGTGTTGCAGCCAAAAAATCGGTAAAGGAGGACATTGACTGCACTAATTAAACGTTATTGAAACCGTTTTTCTTTTCCCCCGCGGGACCAGGCTTCCCAGTAAATGAGAAGTAATGAACAGGCGGTCTTCCAGTGCGGAGAACTGTGGAGGAGAAACCTCGGTGTGGTGCTCCCACCGATGATGAGGACGGCTAATTTAGCCGGGAACGATGTCTGCCATCATCATCGCGTCTGTATGAAGGGGACGGGTGCTGCGCAATAAGCGCCGCATCCCCCCCCTCCTTCCTCCTCCACGGTCCAACCGCGAGCAATTGCCTCGTTCACCCGGGGAGGTTCGCGAGCCGACCTTGCGCAATGGAGCAAGTGCTCGTGCTTCTGGTTGGTGGTTGTGACCGCTTTCCAACTTGGGTTGAAAGTGTTTGCATTAACTCCCTTCCAACTGTAAATGGGGGGAGCCTTGGGTAATTCTCGTAACGGTGAGGCAATGGAAAGTTCGTATAAAGTCCCGTTGCTATCAACGTTTTTTCCTCCCCAAAACTTGACAACAAAAAAACCCAGCGCTAAACATATTCGTCTTGCCGGCCGAGGTGGTGATGTCACACAATGTGCACTCTTCTGTGGGAGGTGTGTGCTGCGACGGGACGTGGATTCAAATCCAGCATTTTGGCGGTACTGGCTCAGTCTCCCGACATGGCCATTATGAACCATCTGACCCACCCGTCCTCTTCGGGCAAATACTGCGTTCTTCATTGCAAGGCCCGCGGGCCACTGGCGGTCCTTGGTGGCCTTTATTGCGGCCCCTTGACATGCGGCCCCCAAAATACACAAATGCGAAAACACCCCCATCATCATCTTGCTGTTAATCCCCCCTCCCTCTGAAAAATAGCGAAGAACGTTGCGCCAACGTGAGCGTGCAACTGAAACACGTGGCGCTCGGCGGTGGTGCCGACTCGTGCCTCACTGGCCCGGGCCGCCCCTGGCTCCCACGGCTGATGGTTGCGTGTACGTAAACTTTGAGCGGAGCTGGCGACGAATGGGAGTCGGCGTTTCCCAAGGCCCGACTGGAGCGACAACGGCGTGGGACCCAAGAAGGAAACACATTATTTCCTGCACTGGTAGAGGCCACGCAGGCTGTGGGCCCGTGCCAGCGATCGTACCAATTGAATCGTGGAGGAGCTGTTTGACAATGCTGGCTGTCGAGCCTGGGCCTCTGGAGGCCTTGCGAGTCTCTCTCTCTCCTTCCCAGGCACGTTATCGGACTGCAGGAGCATTTGTGGAAAGTCCCGTGTTTCCGTAAGGACTCTTGTTTTTCTTAATTTTTTTTTACTTTCATTGGGGAAGTGTCGTCCCTCGTGGACTCTGTGTTGTTTATCCCCCTCGTGGTTAGGGAGGCAGGTAGGGGCTTGTGCACTGTGGAGACGACTGCGTTCACTGACTCATGCAAACCCCCCGGAAGTCCAGACACCGCTGAGACGAGAGCCGCGTGCCGAAATGCACCCCTAGCGCTCCGCCTTGCACCGGAGTGGAGCTTTAGCAGAAAAAACCCTGCTGCGACGGGACGAGAAACCGCTCGTGCGACACGGGGAAGATCCAACACCGCACGTATCCGTCGCCAGAGTTTCTTTGTGCCACGTGCCGGCGCTCCTCGGTGTGCACGTGTGCGCTCCCTCCGCCGGGCGACCGTGCTACCAGTGACGTGCGGCGGTGTCCCCCGTCGCGGTACGGCGTGCATCGCGCTCGGTGGCCACGCTCGGCCCTGCAGGGTAGCGCCGCCCACGGAGGTGGGGAGCTGACGGAGGGGGGGGGGCGAGGTGGCTCGTCCTCCTGCGCCGGCGCTAATGAGCCCGCCCGCCTGGTTTTCCCGCGGTGTGCGGAGCTCGCGCCCGTCCTCGGGAGCGCTGGGAGTCTCGGCTTTCATGCGGCATCTTTGGTTCCAGCTCGTGACCCCGGGGCACGCAGTTGTGGCCCGCGGAGGCGAGCGGTAAGAGACGGTGGCGCTCGCTTGTGCGCCCCGTGCTGTTTGTGTCCACGGATCCTCCGCCCGCCCGTGCTGTTATTGTACAACAAGCTCGCCGAGAAGCAGTGACGGTGAACGTAGTAGACATTCGCGCAAAGCTCGCCACAAACATTGGGTTGGGCGCCTTGGGACTAGTGCCGTTGGTGGGCAGCTATCAAGGCCGGCATGAAAACAACATCATGTGGCCGGCATAAAACCCAGCCGCCTTTGTCTCCCCGGTGTTGATGTTTACACGCTGCGCCATTTCAGCCTCATTTAAGGATGAAATGACGTAGAGGAGGACCACTGAGCTACGACTTGTTACAGATATTATCAGTGGTAATGAATCGAACCCAGGTTGCTGGAATCTAAGCTGTGTGTGCGAGTCATTGTGCCACCACTCCACACGGAGATCCTCACCTGCACGCACACCCGCAGACGTGCGCACACACACACACACATAGGTGTACTGCATAACCAGGTAGGGTGAAGTGCTGTTTGTAACTGTTAAGGGCCACTTGACACAAGCGAGAGTGGTGTGGGCTGCTCCCACACCCGGCTGCCACGCACACACACGCACACACAGTCCAAACCGGTCCTGTGCAGTTAAAATCCTATCGAGGGCAGTGGTTATGTGCAACTGCGTTGCAGGAACTTCGTATATAAACAATATATGCCACATTTAACGTATCTTGTAAAAATGTACAGCGTGCATATCTAATCGAGCACCTGATCTTGCCGAGCGTAAAAATGTCATGTAAGGCATTAGCAATGCTCCCTCTTGTTCGGGAAAGCGGATGTTGGAATGGTGTTATCAGCGTTCTTAGACCCTAATTTGTGAAGCCCTGCACAGTCTTTTGCTTACTTTTGCACTAAATCCCTTTATTGTGTAAAAATCGTGCTCTTTTAGGATTGTTTTATTTATGTTGGGCCTGCGGAAAGTGGTGCCCCGTTGCTGTCCCGTGCACGCAGGGGGAAGTTCTGGTGGCTGCGAGGGGCACCGCCTGTTTTTATGTTTTAATTTTAAAAATGTTTCTCTCTCTCCCGTTCTCCCTTCCTCCCTCCTCCCATGTGGCGTCTTCTCCCTCCCCGCGCGCCTCAGTATCCCGCACAGAAGTTGACCCGGGGCCCCGGGTGGTTCCTGTATGACTTTGCTGGAAAAAACAGTGAGTAGACTCGTAACTCGCGGCACGTTCCTTTCTCCGCTGCTCCGGTTCACGCACGCACACGCTCGTACAAAGACAAATTTCCCCCGTATAGTCTTAACAGACTTTCGGGGCAAGTGCTGTTAGTGAGCACCTATGAAGGCCGGCATGGCACACGAGGGAGTGGGTGGCCAGCACCACGCCCGGTCTCCTTTGTCTCCCCATTGGCGATGTTTACACATCTCACCAGGTACCCATTTGAGGCTGAGTCGATCTAGGGGAGACCCAGGACCGATTTAGATAATCGTCACTGGTGTTGGCCACGCACGTGTCCGCACCCGAAACCTCGACCCGCATCATCATCATCATCATCGTCGTTGTGTGCATCGCTCCCTGCCGGCGAGAGGGCCCAGGCCTTTTCTCCTCCTCTCCCGGCCGTGCTCCGACCCAGATCGGCCCGGGCCGCAGTCCCGCACCCTTGGGGTGCCAATGGGTGGCGGCTGCTCACCAGGCTCCCCCCGCAAAGAGGCGCGGGGAGGCATGGGCCCGCGCGGGCGTTTGTTTGTTTTTGTTGGCAGTGTGGGTAACGCCTCGCAGAAAAATGTAATCTGCGGGTGCTGCTTTGCATTGCTGGCGCCCCAGCGCCTGTTATCAGGGCTTCTCCCACTCGTTTCTTGCGCTGTCGCCGAGATGTAGCGAGGGGGCTGCCCCCACGGCTTGGCCGGTGTGGCTAAAGCGACGACGTTCACGTTAACTTGAAAAGGACAGTTTACCCCGGTGAACTTTCGGCTTAATAAAAATAGCCCAACTAGGGTTGCAACCCGGCGCTTTGACATAACAGCAATTGCGTAACGAATAATGAATTAGATGAACCGTAAAAGGGCCGGGCGCTGTGCTCTCGCCAGCAGCACCGCTCCCTGCGTTGGCAGTGAGCACCGCGACGACACCGAGAGTCGTTTTTATTTCGGTGCGGGTGTCTCGTACCACTAGACCTGGCGTGGCGACGGTGCCACCGGTGAAAGGGAAGCAACCGAGCGGAGTGTGGGAGAGGGTGGGTGGCGGGGGTTGGGGTTGTTTTTACCAGCACAGAAAGCTACACGGGCATTTCACCTGCTGCGGGCTGCGCCCCTTGCTGTGCACGGTCGCTCCCCTCTGTGGGCGTGGGCTCCGAGCCAGCGAGTTGCACCCCTCCTATTGAACGCTCAGCTGGAGCCGAGCGATACGCACACTGCACGTGTGCTGGTGCCTCACCCATGCTTCACCCACGCTGCACCCACGCTGCACATGTGCAGCAGCTGAGAAGCGGCTCACGTTTTTAAGGTGGCGTGGTAAACCATGTGACCGACATGAGCGTCGCACGCGGACCTGTCTGCTGCTTAACCTCCAAACGATTGTGTTGGCGCGTTTGCCACGTCGTGCAAATTTAGCACCCCTGGACGCCCCCCCGAATGAGATGTTCGCAACGGAATTGCAGTGCGAATTGTGCGTAGTTAGTCAAGTAAATAATTGGCTTTGTCCGCGGGATGTGGAGCTTCCTATGTGTACAGCCCCAGACCGCGGAGCTCGCTTTCTCAAGCCCACCGGGGACTCGGAGCCCTTCGTTGTTTCCTTTATCAGTGTTGGCAATTGTTGTCGCAATCAGAATGATGTAGTTTTGTAGACGTTTTCCATTATTTTAATGTTTAATTGCCATATTTGGAGCTATAAGAAGTTGAAATCTTTTGCTTGTGTTGCAATCGAAACGTCGTGATTAAAATTTAGTTTTATCTTTTATTTTTATTTATTTTCTTTACCTACATGACTTTACCGAAAGAACCAAGAGTATACTGCAGTACAGTAACTGGGCCATTGTCAGTCCACTGCTGGATGAAGGCTTTCACGTTCCCGTGTCAGTTATGAGTGGTTGACTGTCCATACTTTACCACCAGTGACAGTTGGTGAACCGGTAGTTGGCCTGGACTGTTTCAGATATCGCTCTTCACCGCTGTTATTAACCATGGCTGGGAATTGAACTCGGGTCATCGGGTTCAGAGTACAACTCACTCTGTTCGGCGTCGCCACCCCACCTGCTCGACACAGCCAGCCGGGTTTAATTTTCAATGCCATCCAACCGAGCTTTCAAACATTTGTGTGTTTAGTTTAATGACCATTCTGGTCCAGTAGGGGAGTGTTGGGGATTCTTTGATGCTCGTGAAGATGATCCCCTGTGAACCAAAGTTGGGTTACCATTCGCGATTTGAAACTAAAACTAAACACACTAAACTCTATTTATGTTACCAGGTAAGGCCCATGGTGTTTTTCCGGATTGCAAACCATCCGAAAGCTCGAGACGCAAACCAGAGAAAAAATAACTTGCACGCGGATATGGTTTCCCCTCGTGGCTGGCCGCCATCTTCCATTCCGATAACGCGGTACTCGGAGGACAAAAACGCGCGTTGGAAAGCGTTCGGCAATCGACGAGCGTGCGACATCGTCGCCGTAACCAATGCACGCGCGCGTGTGTGTGCGCGCGTCTCCCCCGCAGAAGGGAAGACCTCTATATGGAACATGTTCTCTCAGACGTGCCCCATCAAGATCCGGCCCAAGCCCAGCGTGGCCATGACAGCGGCGCCCAGCACCGGCCCGGGCTCGGCGGCCAATGGGGGCGGCCGCCACACGTCTCCCCGGCACGGCGCCAACGCCGGCGCGGGACCCAACGGCGCCGCCGCGACCTCCTCCTCCTCCGCCGTTGTCACGGGTCTCATCCGAGAGCTCAACATCAACGAGACGCTGGTGGGGGGCGGCGGCGGCAGCCCACTGACGCCGCCCAGCAAGCGCCACTGCCGCTCCCTGTCGGTGCCCGAGGAGCTGTCGCGCTGCCGCTCGCCCTGGAAGCCCGGCTCCAAGATCTGGACGCCGGTCACCAAGCGACGGTGCCACAGCGGGGGCAGTGCCACCCTGCAGCGCTGCAACAGCCAGGGCAGCGCCGCCGCCAGCATGGTGCAGAGGCCCTTCCTGGGCTGCGGCGCCAGCTCGGCCTACTTCAAGCCGACGGTGACGTACGCGGGCTCCGGCTGCTGCCTGGCGAAGGCGTCTAATAGCCGGGCCACCGCGGTCTCGCAGGCGTCCGGCGGCGTTGGCTGCGGGGCGTTGTTTCAAGGTTGGGGCGGCGTCGGCGGCTTCCCCTGCTTCCCGGCACCGGTGACCCCTCCGGAGTCGCCCGTGCCGCGGCCCGCCTCGGCCAGCGCCGGCTGGGGCCTGAGCGGCCACATGGATGAGCGCAGCTGCACCCCGTGGGGCCAGTGTCTCTGGGCGCCGGCGTCCGCCCCGCTCGGCTCCAGCTCCGCTGCCGAATCGCAGGCGGCGGCGGTGGCGGCAGAGGCCGGTCCCAGCGCCGGTCCCCCGTTCCACCTGCTGGAGGCGCGGCGCCGACTATCTCTCTCGCAGGAGCGCATCACGGAGTCGGGCCGGGCGCTGCTTTGGGGTCACGCCGGCGGCACACCGGAGACCGGCAGGCGGGCAGCGCCGGCGCACGTGACCACCGCCGGCGCCGGGCACAACAGGCTTCCCCGGTGCCGCTCGCAGCCGTGCGTCTCCAACGAGCGCAAGTCGGGGCTCAAGCGGCGGCGAGACGACGACGTGCGGTGGATCCGACCCTCGCTGGACTTCCTCAAGATGACGTCGCAGGTAACGAGCGCCGGAGGACTCGGGATCGGACGAGGAGGAGCCGAACAGTTGCAATCGATTCTCGTGGGCGCGAAACTCGCGTCGAAACCCGCGCCTGCGAGGAGCGATCGTTTTACCTGGCAGGGGACGGCGAGAATGAGAGACGGTCCAGGGAAAAGCGGCTACAAAGGAAACGCACAACGCAGAATACACGTGAACAGTGGTTTGGCCTCCACGACTCGCTCTCACCATCCCCATTGTTCAGCCTCGCGTGTGCTCTCCCTGTTTACGCTTGCATTGACACTCAAAGTGAAAAATAGGGTCAGCCCTTTGGCGATCGCCTCCTGATTGACCGTTGGCATGGACCGTAATTGATTGTGACACTCACATTTCGATGCATTTATCTTGAGCGCACAAATCAATATTAATCTACGAGTCGTTACACTAACGACCACCCCCTGCACTGCCCGGGTCCCGGCCTCCTCTCTCTGCGACGAGCGGCTACCTGCCGAAGGGCCGCGCCCTCACCTTGTCCCTTTGCTTTGACCCCGTGGCACCTGGCGCGCGAGTGCTTGGCGTGCGTGCTCCTGCAGCCCAGGTGTCCGCCGCTGCGGGGGCGTGAAGTTTGTACCCTGGGTGCTGTGCGCCGCCCGCTCTGTTTGCTTACCGCGGGGGTTGATTGATGAGCCCGGCCCCGTGAGGTCGCTGCTCAAACACACACGGGAGGGGGGGGGGGGTCGCCGCAGCTGTCGCCCCCGGGCGTGACGCCGCTGCCGGAGTGTGGTGGTGCGGTAGTGTGGTGGTGGTGCTGTGATACGGGTTTGTTGTGGGGTGCTCGTGTGGAGTGATGGTGCGGTGCTGCTGCGGCGATGTGGTGGTGTGTTGAGGTGGCGCGGTGGTACTGTATTGTTGTGGTATGGTGGTGGGAGTGCAATGGTAAGAGTGTGGTGGTGGTGCAGTGTGCTAGCATGGTGGTTTTGGGAAATTCGCCCTTCATAGCACTCGCATTATAGACGAGTTGGTTTTAGTGAGCTCACTGCAACAGGGCTCGCTATACTGCCAAATCTTATCCCCTCACTCTGGCCTCTCTATTCAGGCGCTATGAAGAAGGGTCATTGCCAGAAACGTCACCGATTATGTTGTTTTCTTTTTAAGGCCACATTGTTGACAAACGTGTTTTTTTTGTCATATCTGTTGAAAAGGATCATATTGAAATGCGGGATTTTATGTTGCCCAATGTGTTGACCTGCCCATTTATGGAATTGGGTGTCAGAATGTACAATTTTTCGTTTGTCACACGATGTGAGTGCGATTGGCTCATGGGGTCGCTAGCGGGTTCACGCAAAACCCTGCAGCGGCTACAAACTCGGCACGCACCACGCGGGGAACAACAATAATAAGACGACAAGATCATTATTGAATCGATTCGTTACCCAGAGTTGTGACTGTTCATCCGATTGTAGAGAGTTGCTGTTACTGCATTGCCTCATCAGAAACTTGAGGGTTGCAGAATCAGACACTGTATACCAGGCGCGGCCATGCCCCGAGCCACGTGTGGCTGCCGGGCAGTTCAATTGCAACCTGCTTGATGTGAAATAGGAAAAATCTGCATAAGCGGGAGGCGCTCGCATCACTCGCACCTGGCAGTGGAGCCACAAATGAATACTCACGAGGCGCTCCCACAGATTTCTACATTTTCAATTCCACACCCAACCCGCGTCAGCGGACCGCCCCAGTGACCGCCCCACGTGACCGCGCGTGTCTTTCGGCTCTGGGCCATGCTAAGAGTCAGTAAGTTTGGCCACCCCTGCACGAAGATCGCAGCATGCAAACGCTTTCCAGCGCCGCGTAGGTTTGCGGCGCGAAGGTGCGTGTTCCGTCACGCCGTTTTTAAACTGTCGGTTGCTTCACGCCCCACCGGCGAGACGCGTCAATCAATTTTTATTTTAGGGTGCCAAACCGGTGCCGTTGAGTCTGTACCGTAACTCGTCTGCATCGACAGCCGGTCGAGGTGGGTAGATCCTAAACATTGACTAAGGCCACTTGAAGTTTTGAAACACGGGTTATGGAAACATTGGATAAACAGCTGATGGCATTTTTTTTAAAAAGGTTCCGCACGTCCAAATATAGACGAGGGTGAAGTCACTTGTGCAGTACCCCTTCTTTGCCCTTCACCCTTCGCCCTTTGACCCTCCGCCACCTTCTCCCCTGCCGTGGAAGAAGCGGTGGTTGCCCTCCCCGCGCTGGAGCGTCTCGGCGATCCTGTGGGTGACTTGCAACTTGTCAGCACTGACGGAGCCGTGTGCTCATCACATGATGGCCAAACGCTATTTTAATTCTCAGGGCTTTAAATCGGCCACATTAAGCACAGAACCAAATGGAACGTGATGGAGTTTCTTTGGGCAGTCATTGGTGACCAGACTGAAGCCATCAACTCTCTGCGCTTGAAAACTCTGTTTCATCGCAGTTGGGCAGCCGAAACCCAGATTCAAACCCAGAGATGCTGCGGTGCCGGCCTCTGAGCCACCCGGCCTGCTTTGCTTCGCCGATGGCGGTCCCGCTGCGTGGCCGGTGGAAGGAGCCGCTCGTGTCGGTGGCGACGCGTAGCCGCACGTGGTCACGCAAAGGGCCCGGCGCAGGTTCCAGTGTTGGGGTTCATCTCCGGCTCTCCATCCGCTAGGCTCTCGACTGAGGATCAAGAGTTTGTGTGGGGGGGGAGGGGCGCCAATCGTGAATCTGGTGCAATCTTTAGTGGGGCCCATGTTCACCTGCAGGGACGTGAGTGGCTCCGCACGGTACGTGCCTCGTGCGCGCCATCTCCCACCCCTCTCGCTCTGTGCGTGTGCGTACACGTGCCCGTGTTTGTGTCCAACTTTGTTTTTTTTAATCACTATATATTTTCAAAGCGCGCTCTCTCTCTAAGTCTAGTGGGGGTGAGGAAATGTTCCACTCGAGGTTCACATGGGAATGCTGCTGCTGCTGCAGCCCCACGCTGGCATCAACCGCCGGGGCACTGCGGTGGAGGGGGCAGTGGAGGTGGGGGGGGTCGTGGGGGGTGGAGGCAGCGGCCGCTGTATTGGATGGAAACGATGCCCCCACGGCTCGCCGGCCCTGCCTCGCCCCCCACCCACCACTCGTCCCCCAGCCCTCTCCTCTCATGACGTTTGACTGCTCGCAGGAATGAGTGCAATCGTCTGGTTGGGAGATTCCAATCTGCCGACGATTCTACGTTGTGCGCGCAGATAAAACCTTCTTGTGACACCCGTCGTGGCAGCGGAGCTCTGGGGGTGAGAGCGGAGGCCGTGGTGGGGGTGGGGGGCGCCGCCATCTCCCTTGCTTCTCCCTCGTGATAGGATGATGGTGGGGTGAGGGTGATGGGTTGGTGTGATGGTGAGGGTGGGAGTGAAGATGGGGGTGATCGTGGGTGTGATGGTGGGAGGGTAGGGGTGAGGGGTGGGGTAGATGGGGGTTGGGTGCTATGGGTGAGGGTGGGGGGAGTAATTAAAGGAGGACGATAACGATGAAATCGCAGGATTCGCCGCCCGGCTCCGCTCTTCTCTGCCTCCCGCCCGCTCGCTCGCTCGCATGCTTACGCGTGCGGGGGCGCCAGCTAAATATAACTCGGGGCTGGCGTGAGAGAGTTGGTTTTTTTGGAGGTTGTGTTTTTTTCAAATCAAATAAATCATTTGGCTCTGAAAACCCACATCCAGGGCCCATAGAAAGTGGAGGAGACCAAAGAGGAGGCGGGGTGGCCTCGGTAGTTGGGACTCTCGGGCGGCAGGGGCCACCTGGTGTGGTGGTCACCTGGTTGCCAGTGTCACCCTGGGGTCTGGGTCCGGCAAGCTCGCCTCTTGGCTGCTGCCCATGGAAGCGCGTAGAGCCTGCGAGGAGGTGGATGCGGACCGCACGAGCAAGCCCAGCAGCACAGCTAAGACGTGTGGTGCGAGACATGCGGCCCGGCTGGTTTGGGGAAAGCGAGAGAGAGATGGGGGTTGGGAGAGGGGAAGAGGATAAAGCTTCATTTACAGATCCCCCCCCCACCCACAGTGCGTTTTGCAATCCTGCCCGTGTGCTGTAGGGGTGAATGATATATTCGCTTCCGTTACCAGCGGCTGGTCCTGGTAGCCCTGGCTCTCGTTTCTGTTTTTTTAACAACGGAGCGGACGAGGCACGGAAAGAGAGCGGGAGGCCGCTGAAGGCAACCACGGCTGTAGGAAGAGCCGTCGCGACACTGGGTGGTGCCCATGCGCTTGTGCCGCAGGTACACTATTGAACTCGCTCCGTGAAGCCCTTGTCTCCACGGAGCCTTTGGTGGAGTCGCACGGATGCGGCGGCCCTTGTAAAACTTTCAGAAATTGCCAACCCACTTCACACCCGACTTCACCACACTGGTCATTTCAGGTTGATGGGGTTGTCCCAGGACCGGTTGCTGGTCCCGCTCGCCGCTGATGATAGCAGCCATCGCCGGTCGCCCGGCTTGCAGTGCGGTGCACTAACTTCTGCTCCACCGCTCCTGCGGCTGCGTATTTGTGGACAATAAACTTGCCTTCGGCACCATGGAGGGTAGCGAGCAGAGCGTGTGTAGCAACAGGTGACCTGTGGCCGCCCTGTTTGAGCCACGGTATTTTCACCGTGCGGGCAGGATGCGGCTCCGATTTTACGTAACGACGGTCGTGCTGAGTGCGAGAAGGAAAACTAAGAGACCAGGCGACCTCCGTGCTGCCCCTTCCCTGGGGGATGACTCGCCTTTCCCGCAATCTGCCTGGCTTCCCTCGCCCTCACAGTTTGGCCGTCTTCGCTTCGTTCCCGGTGGGGGAAGGTCAGGGGTCAACAGGGATTGTTTTTATGGGGGGGAGGGTGGCAGCGGTGGTTGCGAGAAGCGGTGTTTGTACGGAGAGCCCCATGATCCATCACTCATTCATTTGGCTCCGATAGGTTGCCGCCTACACTTGCACGAGCATCACATCCAAGGCCACGGTGTCGCTCGCTCAGGGAGTGAACCTGGGGGGGGGGGGGGGGCT